ATTTTTCACAAGATTTAAATTTTTCTTAACAGTAGAAGCTATGGTGTTTGAAAAATGTAATGTTACTATCAAATAAAAATACCTCATTCTATTAATCAGTTGATTTCGAACAAAGATATTTTGCTCATATGTGCAATCTTCCAAGACCTTGAGGAGAAAACCTTTTATTTTTTCATTTTGCGAATTTTGTTTAAAATTTTTTTGTAACAAAAATTCTCTATTCTCTAAAAACAATACCTACTGTAAAAAATAGTATGGGTCTCATGCTTCATTATCAAAATATGATTACTTCAATATTTAGCAGCCACCAATTTCCTTCAGAATTATCTTATGGTTGCAAAATGTAAATTATGCTTCATTAAAGGTACTAAATCTTTTTCTTGTAATTAACAATAATCAAAATAAAAGCATTTTTTATGCTTTATAATAAATAATCTTCTCAATAACTTATTCTGTTTAACATTTTTTTCATTTTTGGGAAAACCAAAACGACACATTTAGGTACATTGTTCTTCATAAAAAGTGTCGGGTTAAAATTGTAGGTTTCCAGACAAAGTATCGTATCTGCTACATTTTAAAAATGCGTTATGCCGCATTAAACATAAATTTTGGTCATTTGGCTATAATCTTCATACTCCTAGAGAATCGACTACTGAACAAAAAACTTAACGGCTTATTAACAGTAATATTTTGTATAATAAATTTTCGATACTTTGCTTGGAAACGGACGAAATACCTTTTATCCCCCTTGGGAAATATGAATATCACTTAGAATATAAAGTTTTATACTAGAAATTAGTGAACAATTCAATCGTAATCTATATAGTACATATGTTAAAATTGTGATCAAAAGTATGAGTGTTTATTACACCTAGTTTGTTAATTAATTTTATACTTTTATGTATTTCAATATTTTCATACCAGTTTCAGGTTAATAAACAAAAATGGATTAAAGTATTACATTTTAGTTAATCGATTCCTGAGAACAAAGATTTTTATATGCATAAATCCCCATAACGCACTTAAATATATAAAATGTTTGCTTCATATTATATGGCTAGGATATAATATGTACGTGTCTCTTAAATAATGTACCAGCATTTCCGTGCCCAAAATTATTTGTAGTTGTATACCTATTTGTACTTCTGATAGTTCTGTGATACACTTTATGTAACGTTTACATTTGTAGCGTGAGCAGAAATTGCTTTAAGTGGTATAACACATCAGACATTAACAAAGATGAGGGGTTAATTATACCCGTTCTAGTATAAAGGGTTTTAAATTGTGAAACACAAAGACGGCTGTTTTTACCATTCGTAACTTCTTACAGACACTAACGGTTCGCGAAAATTAAGAGAAAACTTTAGGGATGAAAAATTTTAAATGTTTGCGAAATAAAAAAACCCCAAGGTCTAAAAAAGGGTTGTACATTATATTTGCAAAATAATTGCTTTATATTTTGCAAAATTAATTTTTCTTCATATCCAAATTTTAATTTAATATTAATATCCCACTTTTTCAAATTTTTAAGAAAAATAAGTCCCTTTTTAAGCCCTCAGGATCTGCCACTGCTATTTTCATTTTTTATTTCGCAAATTTTGTTCAAAATTTATTTGCCATGAAGGCTCTCTATGTGGGCCTAAAAATCGTCCCCTAAAAACAATATGGGTCTCACAATTCATTATAAAAAATATGATCACTTTAATTTACGCGTTGTCACTGCTTATAAATTAATTTCTTCTTTAGTTTAGTTTAAAATATTATATCTTCTGATACAAAATGTGTTTTCTAAACTGTAATTATTTGTTATTTTTTTCAATTGTAGTTGTAGCCATGGAAAAGGAATTCTGCCAAAATGTTGGCAGTGCTAAATATTCAGAAATAAATATGCATTGTCTCAGATTTTAATCGGGAAAATGTAACAAGCAATAGAACTTGTAGAAATAAGAAAAGTTCAAATGAGCTTGTTTGTTTTAAAGCTTCGTTTTCAAAATACAAGGTGTTAAAATTAATAAAACTTTTTTATTTTTGAAATACAGTTGATTATAACGACATTGCTTTATACGACATATTGGATATAACGACGGAATTTGGAAGTCCCGATTTAATCCTGAAGAATTACCATATTAAAAATATCGTTTACTAAGATACCATTTACAACGAGATTTCGGATTTAGCGACGCATTTTTATATACAGGGCTATCCAAAAGTTCCGGTAGGGCAGAAAAACTTTCGAAGAATGCATTTTGGGAAAAAATGTTCCAGACAAAAGTGTAAGGATTTTTCCCTGGCTAACTGATGGTGACTTTGGATTTGACCTTGACTTTGGCCTTCAAGGTCATTTGAAGGCCAAGTTAAGTTTTTTTAAATGGGAACCCCTATTTTTTATTGCGGATTTGGAAAGAGCAGGAAATTTTACGTCCAAATATGGTCTTTTGAACACAAAGCAGTACATGTACATACTTAAACATTCATTTATCACTTTTTCTATAAAAATTCTAAAAATATATGTAATTGCTTATTACGTCTATCGGTTATAACAACCATAAACAAACGGTCCCTTGAAGGTCGTTATAACCGATTTTCACTGGATATAAAAAACTACTTTGCCGATTTTGATAAAACTTGGCTAGATTTTAGTAAAAAGTAAAAGGCTTAATTTGATGTAATTAGATTTAGTTTAATTATTCCAGTGGCGGCGATGGGGCATCCTAACTACATATTTTAAATAAAAATTTGAGCACGCCATTGCTTTTTTATAAGTTTGATATTACCTTTTAGAAAGATATAATTTGTTATCTTCAACATTTGTTTTGTGTATTTTGCTTACTTTTTGAGAAAAAAAAATTAAATGCGTTTATCGTTCCTATTCATTCGTGCTCAAATTTTTCATTAAAATATCTATTTAGAATGCGCTAGCGCCACCCCTGGAATAACTTATTAATTAAAAAAAAACATGACATTTTTTTATTAACTTTAATACCCCGTATCTCGAAAACAGAGATTTAAAACATAGGTACAAGTTCATATGAATTTTTCCTTTTATTCTTGTGAGTTCTATCGCCTATAAAATTTTCCCGATTAAAATCCGAGAGAACTTGTATGTCCTTCTGGCTCGTTACACAATCAGATCAAGTGGACGACAAAATACCTGTTTAGAAATTAAGTAACAGAAGCAAGTCCTGCATTTGTATATGCAACGTTTAAAGATTATAACAAAGAAAGAGGTAAAAAAATGTGAAGCGATTTAGAATGCCGCTAATATAATGTTTCGTTGGTTCTCTGTTAATGTCTGGTACTATTTGCTGTGAGCACATTGTTTTTTAAACCACTCTTTAAATGTTAAATAACCACTGTTTATGTTAATGTATAAACTGTTTGATATAAAATTTTTAAAATAAACATTCTTAATATCAAATTATTATTACATTTAATTTAACGGTATTTTCATTCTCAATTTTTAGATAAATAATTAATTTTGGGCTTAAAATTTTTGGTTAGACATCTACTTTTTAATGCCACTTGGCGATTTTGACAAATTAAAGATGGTGACACTGTATCAATCCATAAACTATTTACTTTGTATACAATAAGTACATCTTCGATAACAAGTATTTGAAAACAATGTAAATATGATTGTTAGTATGCTAATGTTTTCTGGGTCACTGATCATTATTTCGAAGTCAAAATTTGAAAATTCAAAATGGCGGATCCAATTTGGCGGCCAAAACTTTCGAAATCTGATTTTCTTGACGAAACTTGATGAAAATCGCTGGCAATAACTGACTTCCACTTGCATCTTCCATCAAAACAGGAAGTTAGTTAGTTCACCATCTGCAGTAGGCGTCTAAGGAAGACTACTAGATCCTTTCTGAGGAATCCAATCTAGTAGTTGAGATGAAATGCCTTTTAATTTTTCAAAATTTATCTCGTAAATTCGTGTTCATTTGCCAGCTTATAATATAATTTGCAATTTGTAAGAATTGTATGATATCTTCTAATTTCATTAAAAGCATTGACATTTTAAAATATCGTTTATCCTAATGCCGATGGCAAAGATCTGCAAGATTTTACGCATTATTTCAAAAATCTAGTTCGCAACAATGTTAAAATGTAACGATAAACAGGTAATTTTCAATCTACACAAAGTTCTATGTTTCGACCTTTTCGGCCATCTCGAATTTTTCAAATTTTGACTTCAGAATCCTGAACCGGCGACCCCGAAAACCAGTAGGAACCCATTTCCATTAAGTTTTGTCAACAAAATCAGATTTCGAAGGTTTTGGCCACCATATTGGATCTACCAACTTGAGTTTTCAAATTGTGACTTCGAAATCGTGATCGATGACCCCGAAATCCTGCAGGAACCCATTTCCATCAAATTTTGTCAACTAAATTAGATTTTGAAAGTTTTGGCCGCCATATTGGACCCGTCACCTTGAATTTTTAAATTTTGACTTCGGAATCATGAGCAGTGACCCAGAAAACATTAGCATACTAACAAACAATCGTATTTATTTGTTTTCAAATACTTGTTATCGAATATGTATTTATTTGTATATAAAGTAAATACTTTATGGATTGATACAGTGCCGTCATCTTTAATTTGTCCAAATCACAACGTGGCATTAAAAATTTTAAGCTACATCTAGCTCATCACCCATTTTCAAGGGAAATAAATAAACCCAAGAACATATTGTCCCGCCATCTGCACCCTAATACCCCCTCTTCCCCCAATGGTGAAGAACCAACTCTAGAAGGGGTTACACACGTCTCTGATCTATTCCACCGACCGATTCTCCTCCAACCCCGTTTCTGAGGATGATAAACCTCTTAAACACAATGCCACGTTACCTCGATCCTCCCCAACCACTCAAAAGTGTCAAAATCCAAGACATTTCCCCATTCGCGTCACCATCACGTCTTTATATGAAAAAGATTTTCTTGAAATAATTTTCAATGTTCAATCAGATTGTAATAAAGGAACAATGACATTAAAATTTTATAAAAATCGTTTACTTACAAATAAAATAATCGCCAGATGGACATTTTTTATATAAAAGAATTTTAAATTGATTAGTAAAAGTCTTCTTCGGTAAACTTTACGTTTTGCTGTTGATTTTTCACTTGCTCTTGATTGGAATACATATAAGCGACTTGTTGCGATGACGTTGCGTCCTCTACGTTTTTGTCATCTCTGATCCTTACAAATCTTGGAAACCTTAAAGAAATACCTTTCTCTGGATCCGCCTTGAAGTTAAAGAAATTTTGTTAGTACATTTTACATAAGAAATCCAAATTATTATATCTACAGGGTAAACCAATTTCGACGATTTCTCAACATTTTAATTAATCTAAGGTGTAAAAAAAAACACTTACCGATCAGAATGTGAAGAGTATTATAATTTAAAATATTTTGTAACAAACACGAGCTTTCGGTTTACCAATACCCATAAATAAAAGATACTTACAATACCAAGTGCAGCTCTGTGTACGGGTGAAAGCGATAAGTCCGCACATTTGATTTCCCAAACTTGCACGGCATCAAACCAATGGTCTGGTTCTAAAGATGGGTCATACCTATAATAAGGTTTAGGTTGAGGAATTACATGCTGCTTCAAGAATTCAGAATGTGTCTGCAAAATTTCGTCACTAAATCCAGTTCCAATCTAAAAGAAAATCAATGTAACTTTAACCATTAGAAAAGATTTAGTAATTTTCAGAATTACCTTACATATACTTTGGTATTCCTCACTATCCTTATCGTAACAAGCTAATAGAAAACCTCCGTAAGTTCCCGTTCGTTTCCCTTTTCCTAAATAACCGCCGATTACAACAACATCCAAAGTATCCCCAACACCCTCCAAATAATCTTTTTTTAACTTCAACCAATTGTGTGACCTCTTAGCAATTTCGTATGTAGCATCCTTTTCCAAAGTCTTCACCATTAAACCCTCACAGTTGCCTAAAACAGTTAACATGTCGATATTATACATATACAAGAAAAATACCGGGAATTACAAAATTAGTTTTAATTCAATTACCTTTCACACTTTCGTCTAAAAATTCTTGTACTTCTTCCATGGTAAAAGTATCCAAATTCTTAGCAAACAACCACTCCCCTTCTACTTCTTTAAAATGTTGTTTTAATAAAGTTCTTCTCTCTATAAATGGCTTCTTAACTAATGATTCACCATTGAGGTAAAGTAAATCAAACATGAATATGCAAACTTGGACTTTAATTTCAGCTTCATTTGCATCCTGCAAGGCAACAATAAATTAGATATTCAAGACAAAAGCGTTCGTCTAATTCAGGGGTCGGCAAGTAATTTTGTGTGGGGTCCGGATACTTTTGAAAATTTTTAACGAGGTCCAAAAAAAAATTCATATTATTTTTTTTATTTTAATTTGGACTCAAATTTAACCTGCTTACTAACCATTAAGAACTCCCACACTCACACAATTGTAAAATACTAGAAAAAATGATAAGATTGGCACTTAAACGTAAAAAACATTTTTTAAATAATTTATTTGAGTAATTTATACTTTCAAAAAATTTTTGGCGGTCCAGTATTTTACCTTCCGCGGTCCGGATCTGGACCGCGGTCCGCCAGTTGCCGACCCTTGGTCTAATTGTTGATATTGTTCTCGTTCGGATCGAACCCCACGTTGGGCGCCATATTTTCGTTCGGAGCGAGCCCCACGTTGGGCGCCATGTTGTTCAGCGTTTTTCTAGGTTCGCGGTTGGTAATTTTGCGGATATGGGTGGCTTGCGACGATCGAGTTCTTGCTTCACTCCACGGAACGCGAAACTTATTTTTATTTCACGTGGGCCCCTTTTTATCCAGAAAGGTTGAAAGGTAACCACAAGAAAATCAAAATGGGTAAAAAAAAATATTTATAAGTTCGTCTTTTTTCTTTCAGCATATGAAATTTATATTAAAAAATTTGATTTGGAAAGATAGATAATTAGATCGTCTAAGTTACTAATTTTGTGGAAATTATTACTACAGGATAAGGTTAATAATACTATTTTAATATCTTGATAATAGTTTGATATAGCCTTCAAATTTCTGAAAAGTATAGAGATGCAGGATAAAACACCTACCTTTCGCTTTCTGGTACTTAGAATCTGAAAAGGTAAAATTTGACTCTTTTCCCTGTCCCAAGCTACAGCTTCACAGTCCAATATACATGATTTCACTTCATCTGACGTACATTTGTCAAGTCTAGAAATAACATCCGGATATTTTGTTGTATTATTTTCTTGGTTTCTACTAAAAATATGCACAGCCTTTCCATTTATATGGATCTACAAAGTATGTATGTTAATAACGAGCAAGAATAATTACGATAGTATTTTATTACTTGCGCTCGTTCACCATCATATTTCCATTCACACGTAAATTTATGCCCTTCGAATCGTTGCAGAACTTCTTGTATACCTTTCGTGGGATGAGCTAGCATCGGTTTTAAAGGAATTCCTGGTGTCAATTTGCAAAATTCGGGTAATTTTTTTATTCCTTGTTGTAATAGAACTGGTATTATTTTATCGTAACTTGGACACTCACTAAAACAAATTTCTGCATCACACACATTTAATTCTAATAAGCTATTTTTATTATACAGTGAGTAAAAATAAATATTTGTGAAATTCTCATCCAAAAATAAGAAAACAATTCAACTTTTCACCGATATTTCAAAAAATTTTCGCGAAGCTCCGCAGACATCGCAGCTACCAACAGAATCGTCCCAGAGCTCCTTCTGGACCCATTTGGAGGGTTTATTACCCCCCTCTTAATTTGCTGCGGGAAGATAAAAGTAGGTCAACTCCACCATATGCTAGTGAAACCGAGCAAAATCCGCGTCATGGCGCCCAACGTGGAGCTATGACAGAAGATAGACAACCGACCTATGTAAATCCGCGTCAAAAGCAGACATACATCATATTATTTATTGGACACCCTGTATATATTTTTTTTATGAATAAAAAGCTTCTTTAATATAAAAATAATCGGTAAGATATTTCAAATCCATAGTGTAATTTTAAACATAGAAATATGGAAACATATGACTGAATATCTGGACTGAAGATATAGTTTAAAAATAATCTTGATGAATTAAACGGGCATTGCCAACCGAATGTTGGGCAATAAAACTGGTGAAACCTTCGTAATTCAAAATAATCACTTTTTTTATTATGTGTACTAGATTCCAGTGTTTATTAAAATCTGATGAACTTACCAATAAGCTGTTTTTAATATTAGTGCCAAACTGTCATATTCCGTTTTAAATGATTCCGCAGACATTTTCTTAGCCACATTAAGTTCTTTAGGGGGATATTCTTGACCGGGAGGAGTCATGGCACAAGCCAGAGCTAACGCTTGCAACACTGATTGTTCCGCAAGGCCTATCCTCAATTTTCCTGCCAAAGAACGAATTAAGAACCTAGCTTCGGAATCCTGGCAAGCGACAAACATCGACTGGATCTTCTCAATTTTTTTGGTTTGCGACTAAAATATATACATTTTTAGAATAATATCGCATTGTTATATTATGTTACTATAAGATAATTTTAATTTGTTTACACTTTATATAATCCAAAAATTATTTTAATTAATTGAAGCAGACTGACTATCATTCACCTAATTTTTAAGTTATTTAATATTTAATTATACTAACCGACTGACCAGTCATTTTTGCGATGTCTTTTAATTTATCAAATACTCCCTTTACCATGAGTCTCGCTGGTTTAAATAACATTTTTTGGTTAGACTTAGATTTTTCAGCGACAATTCCCAGATCCCCCACTTCTTTCGCATCCACTTTAATTTGAGCCATACTTCTGCCAGTAGACTGCGCTATGGCTTTCATTAAACTGGTTTCAGCTACCCCCAATTCCAGACCTGAATCGATCAATGTTTTATTTAAAAATATACAAAATATAAAATGAAAATAAATAACTATAGTAGGATCATATTCAATGCGAAGTAATACATCATTGCCCGTCATGGGTCCAGTGCAGTACGGTTTTAAGGGGTTTAGAAATTGAATAAGTGCATTATGAAGGGATGATGGAATCAGTTCACGTCTGGCACTCTACAAAAATCACTTACCTTCATATGCAGGGGCTAGTTTATTCAAACACAAATATACACTAGGTAATAAATCTTCAGGAGTTAAAACTATTACAGATCTAAAATAGTTACTCAATATTTCAATAATCTTTAATCTTGCTGAAACATCTTCTATTTCTTCCAATGTTCTAGCCAAAGCGCTATATGGAACTCTAAAATAAAAATTATTTTTTTGTAATTGCGCTGAAACTTTAGTTACAGAAATCAATAAAAAATGTATTTTTTTTTCCAAAAGAAAGTTGGACACTATTCTTTACTATTCTAATGAAAATTATTTTTTCCCAAGTTAAATAAGTAATACCTACAAATCATAATACATGTAAAAATACAAAGAAAACTGGTTTAATAAGGCACCAAAAACAGTAAACTGGGACAAAACACTAATGCTTACCTTTCCTTATATTTCCAAGACGCATGTTTAATTGGATCATAATTAACTTGATTGGGATTGTATACATTTGAAGTGCTCTTCTTTTTATCATCACTGGTTTTCTGTTTTCCTATAAAAAATGTTTCTAAACAAGACCATTTCTTTTCATTTTTAAGTTAAAAATAAAACTACTAAAACTAATGACATTATACAAGTAATAGTTTAATGTTGCACAAGATAAAGAGCACTTTCACGAGAATTGAAAATATATTTTGGAATAATAGATAGCATATTATTGCCATAAGAAAAATGTACATTTTCTGGCTTCTAAAAAATGAAACACCATGTTATAATATAGTTGTATACAACATACTTCTACTTTCAAAGAATTTTTTTACAACTTAAGGAGGTTTATCTGATTTGGAAATGACAAACAAATATTCATAAAAAAATTAATATAAGCTTATTAATATGAAGAAAATCCTCAAAAAAAATATGACTAGATTGGATACCTAAGAGACGAGATATTAATAAAATAATTTTTCATGATTTAGTACGAAGTCTTATGAGAACGCAAATTTTTTTTGGTCTTTTCACTTAGAATGCGCAACAGCTCATAGAAATCGATTAGGTACTTGTAAGAAAAATAATTTATAATAATTCTCCTTCAAACTGCTGTTGTTGACTAACTTAACCTCCATATGCTTGATAGCCAACGTTGCCAAATGTAAAGGCTTACTACTTTAGTCACTAGCGAATCTACAGAAACTCTCGTAAGACTTTAGACATACCCCAGTACCCGATAAACCTCCTTAATGATATTAGCTAAAGTTTCTCTTACCAAATATTAAATTATTTATCTTTGGCTTATCGGGTGATTTTATTTCATTTTTATCAACATCTTGATAATCTTCTCTCGCTGCATCATCCTGCCTTTCTATTTCTTTTTTTATTTCATCCTGACTTACATCTTCTACCTGTTTATTGGTATCTCTCTTCTGTGGAGATTGAACTTCTGATTTAACACATTCGTCCTTTAAATTCAATTGCTTGGAACTAGAACTGTGTTTTATTTAGAGGATAGTTCGTTTCAAAAATGTTTTTTCTACTTACACATCATCATCGGACTCATCGCTGCTTAAAATACGTGATCTTTTTCCACTTCTTCTCTTTAAGCTATACGGGAGGGAAAATATTTGTGTATTAGTACCATATTTTTGATTATTGCGATCGTTTGAAATCTCAAGGGATTATACAAACTTCAAAAGTGTAGAGATATGTATGGGGATGTATTTAAAAACATTGTAATTGTCTTATAAGTTTCAAAGATATGCTTTACTGTATTTCAGCAACAAAATGCTTATTGACGCAATGCAAGTAAAAAATGAGTTTTCAATAAATTTTTTGAATAACAAAATTATTTTTATATTTACGATTTTATATTACCTTTTTATCAGATTTGTAATAAGTTAACCCCTAAGACAAAGAATTTTTGATGAAGTACTGAGGCTTAAGAGTAAAAACATCTAGTAAATGGTCGAAATACCTTATTAAATAAAAAAATAAATAAAATATGAAGTTACCTATTCTCGGGCAATTTTATTGTACCAATAGCCGTTTTACCACTGGTGCTCTCTCTCTTTACTTCATCGTTAGATTTTGAAGATCTAAAACTGACAATTAGATTTACATTTAAAAAAATATATTAAACTTACATATCCTCATTTGAATCATCACTACTTAACGTTCTGATTCGTTTTCTTTCTCTCGAATCCGATAAATTGACCCTATATGCACATGTATTAGGATAATTATTGTACAAAATATTACTTGAACTGCACTTTTTAAAGTTGTTAATAAATACAGTACATTTTATTATTCTTAAAATGCGATACATAATTTATAATTAATATTAAAGTACGTACCCGTTTTGTTTAGAACTATCCAAATTTTCTTTAGGAATACGGGTAAAAAACGAACTGTAACGAGAAATATATATTTAAAAAAATGGTTTCGTTGTAACAATACTCTTACGTTATACTTTTCTGGGACATATCAGAATTTAGTTATCTTTTATAGCACTTATATTCAACCAAAACCTAGCACAACAAATAGTATTCAAAACACATAAAAAAGAAAAACATTTAAGGTTAGTAGATCAAAGTTTTAAGTAAATGTCGCATTTTCCCGCTAAATGGAGACCTACACTTTTAGTAGCCGCATACGTTTCTGTGTATTTTCTTAATCGTGTCAAAGGTATCATAATATACGGATATAACCTTAGAGCATCTACTAGTACATGCTCTAAGGATATAACTTGATATGAAATTATGAAAATAAGGCAAATTCGATATTAACCTCTAGATGCTCTGGAGGTGTTTTGCCCTTTTTTACATTTACGTTTAAACTCTGCATTCTTAAGCTGACCTTTTAAACACGAGTTTGTTTATAAACATATTTAATATAAAGCTTAAAGCTACTGTGGAGTGAATACAAGGATTTTAATCCTTGGAGTGAATATAGTACAGTTTTTAGTGATCTGGGTTGCTAATCTAACAGCAATAATTACTATCGTACCAAAACGAAAGCTCTAAAACAGGCAGCTCAATAATGAATACATTGAGCCTACGCTACATAATTTGGACATTTGAACTACGTACTACCTTTATCTTTCATTTTTTCATAAGTGAGGTTATCAGTTTTTAATTTACATGTGACAGAAAAGTGAATAATTTTAAAATGGTTTTTATTAACTAATAAATAAAGTTTTACATTTATTAGAAGACATAATGGAGAATATAGAGAATCTTTTAAATCAATATCTTTTAATATGTGACAAATTACCAAAATGTAGCGGACATAAAGCGGAAAGTGATAAAAATATATGGGATTTAAATGATTGTATTGCGTGCGAGGACAATTGGAAAATATTTTTTGATACATCTTTTGATAGTGATCAGATAAAACTACATTTTAATTCCAAGTCCGAAGAAGAGCGTGTTAAGATATTTAAATTTGGAATTGGTTGTTTAATAAACTTTGTCCGATGCAATTTTACTGGACCAGATTTTGACAAAACGACTGAGGAATTCCTTAATGGGGATAAGTTTAAAACTATTGCTTTCAGCAAATTATTATCAGTAAATAATGAAGATATAAATGGAAACACGAAATTCCCTGCGCTTCTAGCAGCCTCAAAACTAATATTTGAATGGTGTCCCATCAACACTATCATAAATATATGGTGGTATTGGAGATCAGTAATCATTCATCAGCAAGTTCTCGATGAATTAAGTCCAACTCTTCTTTCAGACGCAGATCGTCTATATAAACATATTCAAGTAAACCCTAATATAAAAGGTGAGTTTGATAACAGTATATATTAACTATAAGAAATTAATTATGGACTAAAATTGTTGTATAGACTATGAATTACCTATTAGCTTTAATGAGTTGTGAAAATGTTAACAAAGTTATTCCTGATTTGTCAATTATTGTCCAAACATTCAATTCAACGATAGAATGGTATGGTTTTATTTATTGATAACAGTATCCCGTTTAAGAGAAACTCAAGAAATCCTTTTCACTACTTAAATAAAATGGTGTTCATATAGTCGCGAATTTGTACGAAACATTTTTACTTAAATCGTCCCATCAGAATAATAGAATAATATAGGCATTTCACAATTCACAACTGTATGACTCCAGCAGCTGTAGTGTCAGTAGATAAAAGTTGATGTAACTGTAAATCTTGTGTTTGGTTTTTATATTTAAATAACATTTAATACATGGTTGTGTAGTAATTGTTATTCCCAAAATGTTGTATCTACTATTCCTTACTGTTCATCTGCAGTGTGCTTAAATAATGTAATAGTCTCATTACTGTGGAAATGAGAAAAAGTCCAAGGTAAATTTAGTGAATTATATAACAAATTTTTTTCTCCCACCCTTGAAATATTGTTAGAGGTTGGCAGATTTTTCTTTGTAATATTTTATTAATAAGAACAAGTTTCATGGCTTAATAGGTCATGATAAAACTGTAATTTAAAGTTCTGTAATTTAATTAAGCTAAAGTTATAAATTTTTAAAACATTTTGGAATTTTCTGATTACTATTTTATGTTATTTTATGCTATTGTTATTGTTTAATTAGGCGATAGGTTGTTTTTATATATTTAATACTCCTATAACTTGTGATCAAAAAATTTTGCTAAGGCTACGACACAAAATTGTACTTGTATCTCTGTTTTTCATAGTTATTAAATGGAAAAAAAGAAAGATTATAAATTATACATATAGGCATTGCATCGATGTGTGTAAATGCATCTCTTTTATATTTTCCTTACCATGTAAAGACATGGTTCCTTTATGGGCAGACTATGTTGAAGTTTAAAAGAAATCCACAATAAGGTACTGAATATGTAGTTGCACTCATTTACTTTTGCTGATAAATGAGTATACTTATATTTTATTAGAGGAAAAAGTCGTTCCCAAAAATAATTTTGTGTACAGGGTGATCAAACTTTAATGGATGATTCTGTCACAAATTAACAAAAAGAGTTCCTATAAACATGTGTCGGGAAAGGTATCGTTTTTGAGATACACAATGTTAAAGATCTTGAAAAAATTTGTAATTTTAAAATAAATCATGGTTTAAATAATTTTATTCAAATTCGATGTGCAGTAACTCTTGCTCACAATTTTTTTTTGTCTCAAAAGATATTCCAAATTGAACTATTATTATAATGTTTATTGAAAAGGAACCATTCATCGAATTATCAGATTGAATTATTTTTACACAAAATAAAATAGATCTTCCTTTGCAAATTGATGCATTTTATATACTTTTTTCAGTTTGGTGCTTGATTCCATTTCGATAAACATTATACATGTATATATAGCACAGTAAAGACTATACAAAAATAAGTTTTTGCTGCATGTCACTATGTTATTATTACTAAAAGTATTATGGCATGTCCATGAATAACATAAAATTTATTTACATCCTTCCTTGATCTATTTCCTTCAATTTGAAATAAACCATGTATTTTCATCGATATTTTACACCTTATATCTTGAAAACTAAACATTTCTGGACATTTGTTTAAACGAACTTTTTTTTTAATTTGTTACGTGTAACGTGCCATTAAAGTTTGGCCGAACACCTTGTCTATCATACAACGTCTAGAAGAATGAGCATATTATCGGATTTAATCTGATAAACATATAAATGTATCATTCATACTTAAAGATGTTTGTTGATTTGATGTAGTATATTGATTTATTTGTGGAATTTGTCATCAGAACGCTGGGAAATTTCCTATCCCCTACCTCTACCCATCAGCAATCTTTTCTCATCTTTTGTTGTATAGATATATCTGGGCCTAAAAGTTTATAATAAATTGTGTTTGGATATAAAAAGAGCACAAAGTCTCACAATCTTTAAAAATAGGCTGTACCGATATCTGGTAAACAGTACATTTTATACATTGAATGAATTTTTTTCTAATTAATGTATGTTGAAATTGCAACTATTGTTTAGTATGTAGTAAGTAGGTTAAGGTATATTGCTGTATGACTATTCCTATACAATGTCTTTTGTCTTGAGGAAAATAGCTTATTATTATTATTATATGAAAGAACTTTTAAAACTTCACAAAAAACATCTGCCATATCCACTTGTATATATCTCCGTTGTTATCTATGTATTCTTGGAAACATTTTTTTACCAAAATATGGCCTTAAAAATAACGACATCAGTTGATTATTGTTATTGGTGAATAAAAATCGTACTCTTTGATCCCTACTTTTAGTTAGAATTTTTTTAATTTCATATTCGATCATTTAAAATTCAATTTTCTAATTAATAAATGAACTTTTTTCCAGATTATGTCAAAGCTCTACTTGATATTGAAGTTGCACAGCTATATTTATTATTTCGCCATGTATCGAAAGCTAAGGAACACATTATGTCGGCAAGTGGAATATTGGGTATCCATTATAAATTAATAGGGGCATTAGGCAAGCGAACAAAACACCAAGAAAAGGAAACAGCTCAGTTATCTCTCAAAGTAACAGTGGAAGGAAAAAATGGGATTCAAAGGCCCGAAGAAGATGGCGATTTAAATATACCTAAGAACATACCTTTAAATGATGATGTTCGTTTAAATTCTGTCGAATTTTCCTCAAAGGATAACATGGACAACGTTTCACTTACAGTCACAGAACAGAAATTATTTATTACTATCGTTCAAGAAATGTTGATCGCTAAACCGCAAGATGAATTGCAAACTGAAGAGCTACATCCTTTCATAGATTTGATTTTGAATCAGAAAAATTCGTTCTCGGTTAGAGTAATTGCTTTATTGTTAAGATGCAAGTTAGAGAGTAAAAATAGGAGAACTATAGAAAGGTCCTTGGCTCAATGTGAAGAAATAGTCAATAGTTTTAAAAGAGAGAGTCCTCATTTTCTTAACAGGGTTGCCGACATATTTGGAATAGGTATGCCCCCGATGTGGAAAGTTGAAGCTCAACATGCCGACGTGCTGTTAAACATAGGACTTGTAAAGAATGCTCTTGATATATATCTTAAAATTAAACTTTGGGAAGAAGTCATAGTCTGTTATACCATCTTGAAATTAAGACACAAGGCTGCGGAAATAATCCAAGAACAGCTGAACGTTAAACCGACTGTGAAGTTATTATGCTTATTAGGTAAGTTTTTGCCATATTATACTACTCAGAGTGATAAAAATTTCAGTAAGTTTCAGTACCTTCAGATTTATTTGTTTCATTATGTTCTACGGTTCATATCTAATTAATAAATACATTTTCTATAACATTATTGATTTTCTGGATAGAACCATAGGGATTTTGATTCTCTATTTAGCAAATTACAATTCGGTCTATAGGTTACCAAGGAAAAGGATTTTGAAAATTTTAACAAGCTGGAAAAGTAGAAGACTCGGTTTGCAAATAGTGAAAATTCTTTTTACTTCACTTATTATAGAATTTTAGTAAAAAATTGATTAATATTTTTATACTTACATACATCAAATATAGTCTGAAACAGTCCAGATGGGTATTCCATTCCACATTATACAGGGTGTTTAAAAAAAATCTGAAATAATGCCGAGACCCCTTTTACATATTTAATTTTTTTTAATTCATTTTCGTGGTAACCAATTAGAAAAGTTTGTAATTCTGAATATTCAAATTTTTTTAATGATGTGTCATATGATCGTCTTTAATTTATCAAATTTGGAGAGATGAAGCAAGGAGCAAGACTGTTTCACAAAAAAAAAATCAATAAGAAAACACATCAAATGATATCTCAATATGTATAACCCAGTTGTTATCTACAAAAAACAAAAAATTGTAAAATTGCGTTAATTCAGTTTCACACTTTTCTGTTTCTAATTGTTGGGGAAACCCTTGAATTTTGAGGTGAATATGTGATTAAATATTTTGTTTATTTTTACTTTTGAGTAAATATTTTTTTAATCAAACATGAGAAATTTAATTCTACCACTTTATTCATTACTATATTTCCTCTTAAGACTGATAAATTATGAAATAGAATTGTTGCATTATCTCTATTCCATACAATTTGTCCTTCCGACAAGTTTAATTACCATTTTTAGTCGAAATTACAAATTATTTGACAAATAATTAAAAATATGCATAGATCGCAAATGCTTGCTCAAGTTAAAAAAAACTACATTGGCAGTCGATCTGATATTTTTACACGAGGCAGTTTGCATATTTGTTAACAGATTTCAATTGCTTTGAAAACTTTGCCTTTTTTTCAGTATCGAACCTCCTTAAATTAATATACAGAACATTGTACATAAAAATAAAAACAAAAATTGATGTTACGTTTGACTCAACAATTGTGAGATGAGTGATTTACCTCACCTCAGTTATTTTCTCCTTAGTTGAGAGTCAAATCGAAAGCAACTGTTATTACAGTTTGTATTTATTGTACAAAGTATGCCAATTCTTATCTGCCAAACTGAAACGGGTGATAGAAAATCTTAATTTATGAAGATAGTTTCTAACTACACAGATTCTATATAACACAATATTTACCAGGTCATTGGTACATTGGTAGAGAATATGGGAAAAAGTTCATGAATAAAGGTGAAAAAATTCAAAGCCTGACAAACGCTTTTGAGTATTCCTGACAAAATGTATCTTAAAATTGCGGTCACCGAATCAAGTTAACCTCAAAAGGCAACACGCGCTAGTCACCACACAAAATGTTATTCTGAATCTCGCCTACGACTCTAGACTTATTCGGTTTCTCAAGCCTAGATCCAAATAACACTTCTAATGGTTCATTTAGTTGGCAGTAGGGCGATGGGGCTTTCACAGCTCTTGCGAAATTGCAGGTCGCTCTCTGCCAATTGCCCATATTAAAAACCAAAGCCTAATAACTATTAATATCTACTTTCCTATTTACTACACCATCTGTTTCAGTTTGACAGATTGTAACAGAAACGTTGTGTAAACGAAATCATTTTTTGTTCATGTTACAGGTGATGCTACTGATGACGTAACTTGTTACGAGAAGGCATGGGAAATGTCCAAACGAAGAAGTCATAGAGCACAGAGGCACTGGGGTCAGTACCTGTTTCTGCGTAAACAGTATGAACAATGCATTCCACACTTTGAGAAATCGGTCAGTATCAACCCTCTACAATCTGTCGTGTGGTTTCGTCTCGGCTTTGCTGCTCTACAAACAGAAAATTGGCAGACAGCCGCCACCGCGTATAGAAGGTACACTACGTTGGAACCAGACGGGTTCGAGGCTTGGAATAATTTAGCGCAAGCTTACATTAAAATAGGAAACAAACGCAATGCCCATCAAGCTATTTTGGAAGCATTAAAATGTAACTTCGAGAACTGGAAAGTGTGGGAAAATCTACTAGTTGTTAGTTGTGATATATCAAATTTTTCTGATGTAATCAGGGCTTATCATAAGTTGCTAGATCTTAAGGAAAAATACTTAAATATCGAAGTATTGAATGTGTTAGTGTATAATGTATGTAACGACGTCAATGATTTTGAAGGGCAGCCATCACAGCGTTTTCTTAAAAAAACTCGGGAATTATTAGGTAGGGTGACGGCAATATATCCCGGTGAGGGATACGTGTGGGAGCTTTATGCCAGCTTAGCTCCCGCTACGTTGTTAAGAGCTCAGAGGCTTCAACGAGCGTATAGGGGATATAGCCAGGGCACGTGGGAGAAGAATCCCGCTACTTGCCAACAAGTACTGTACGTATGTACGAAACTGGCGGAAATCGTCCTGGACAATGAAATCGATCCGAAAGATAGTTTAATCAATTCCATTAAGTTAAATCTAAGTTCTGCCATATCCGCTATAAAAAAACAGGATTGGGAAGAAACTAGGGAATTGGTCGAACAGGTGTCTGGTCACTTAGAAAAAATCACGGAAAAAATTAAAAACAGCGGATCTGATATTAAGCTAAGTAGGACTTAATTTTTATATTTAATATATTTAAATTAGCATTAATAAACATTTTATTTTGATTCAGATGTTTTAATCATTATTAAATACTTTTTTTGGCTCCAGCTTATATAGGGTGGGCCATTAGTGTGAGAATGTAAAATAACTCCCTTGTTATTCATAATACAGAAAAAAAGTTTATATAAAAGTTATACATAATCAAGAAACCTAAACTACAAAATTAATTTTATACATACGATGAGTGAAAACGGGACACGACAAATATTAGATTTTTTAAATGGAACACCCTGTATATTTTAAAACATGAATTTCCAAGAAAATTCTATATACCGGGTGATTCAGTTTGATATTCGCGGCCTTGTATCTCTTTTATTTTAACAAATAGCTATAACAAACCCTATATATTTTTAAATCGCCGCTCAAACTCCATCAAATGACATTATCAGATCGTCTCCATCATAGCATGTGTCAAGATTGCTATAGTCAATTGTTTTTCTATTTTTTTATCAATTCTGGAAGTTATTTTTTTTCTGCGTTCAGCTATATAAGGAAGTCTATAGTTTCATTAGAAATATTGCTAGAAAAACAGCAAAAAAAATTACCCCTACTTTCATTAACTTTATTCTGAAAAATTATAGCCAGCTGCGGAAACAACTGAATTTTAACGTTTCTAAATAACGGTTTGTCAAAATAATTGACATTTTGTACCTACCTATTATATCTATAACTAATAATTACAGGTATAACATGAATACTTACAGTAACCAAGAAAAACTAGATACGATTTTAATTTATGGAAAAGGCTGAAAGAACTCTAAAGCTGCCAGGTATTTATAGGTGCCAACATCGTTTCCCGCAGAAACAACTTCCATCAGAAAAAATTTTCGAAAAGTTAGCCAGGAATTTGACGGCAGATGGAAGTTTTCAAAAGAAAAGAAGAGTTTTTAAACCCAGAAGGGCAAGAGATGAAGAACATTCGATAAAGATGTTAAATGGCCTGCTAGATCTCCCGAGTCTCACCCCTATAGATTTCTTTTTTGGCCTTACCTAAATGATATTTATCTTAAAAACAGAATAAAAGTAGAATGTCCGAGGTTAAACGAAGAAACAGTAGAATATGTTTGTAGAGAGGGAGTGATGAACAGAGCTATTCTGTGTTTGGAAGCAAATGGAAGTTATTTTGAACATTTGAAATAAGCATAGTTTTAAATTGTTATATTATTATCTTGTTAAAAACAAAATATGTTATTTTAAAAAACATAATAACTTGTTTCCGCAGCTGGTTATCATTTTTTAGAATAAAGTTATGAAAAGTAGGGTTCATCTTTTTTGCTGTTTTTCTAGCAATATTTCTAATGAAACTATAGACTTCCTTACATAGCTGAACGCAGAAAAAAAATATCTTCCAGAATTTATAAAAAAATATATAGTGTGCCATTTGAATAACAGTTGACTGTAGCAATTTTGACATATGTTACATTGGAGATGATCTGATAATGTCATTTGGAGTTTGAGCGGCAATTTAAAAATATATAGGGTTCGTTATAGGTATTTGTTAAAATAAAAGAGATACAGGGTCGCGAATATCAAACTAAATCACCCGGTATAGCAATATAAACAGGTTATCATTTTAGAACGGGGTTGCCAAGTTATGTAAAAAATTCTTCGAATTTTTGAAAACACGATCTCAAAAAAGTTGTATCAACTTCCAACTACTAATACTTTAAGCAAAAATATTTGACAGAATTATAGGCAAATACTCTTATATTAGCTAATATACATATTTTATACAGGGCATTTTTTATAATGATCATGAAAAAGGAAATAAACTTTCTGAATGCTTGACAACAGTACAGCGTGTTCTTATTCTACTAGCCCTTAGCACTATTACCACTGTTGACTGCAATCCCAAACACATCACTGGTTTTTTTCTTAACTAGTCATCAAGACTACCTACCCTTCCTGCATCATATTTAGAAAGTTTAAACTCAATTTTCTAAAATTTTTCAAATGGAACACCTTGTATTTTATTCACATATCGGTCCACTTCAACTTTTATTAAGCATGTTCTATATTGAAAATTGTTAGTTTTTAAGATATAGGAACATTTCTGAAAAAACTTAATTTTTATTATTTTATAGAATACCACAAATAAATATTAACTAATAAAATGAACTCAAAATGGAATGATAAATTATGAACTGGCAAGTTGACACAATGTGATAGTTTTTTCCAAAACCATTACCGAAAATAATAAAAATTAGGTTTTTCCGGAAATGTTGCTATATCTTAAAAACTAACAACTTTAGGTGTAGAACATACTAAATGTTGAAGTGGACTGGTATGTGAATAAAATAGTGTTCCATTTGAAAAATTTTAGAAAATCAAGTTTAAACTTTCTTAAAATGATCGTATTATAAAAAATGCCCTGCATAAAATCTCTATATTAACTAATACGAGTCTTTGCCTATAACTCTGCCAAACAGTTTTGCTTCAAGTGTTAGTAGTTGAAAGTTAATACAACTTCATCGAGGTCACGTTTTTTCCAAAATTCGAAGAATTTTCTATATAACTTGGCAACCCTGCACTAAACTGTTAATATTGCCATATATATAATTTTCTCAGAAATCCATGCTTAAAAATATACAGGGTGTTCCATTTAAAAAATGTAATAATTGGCATGTCCCGTTTTTACTCAGCCGTTTCAAATTAATTTTGTCCTTTTTTTTTGTTTTTTGTACAACTTTCATATAAACTTTTTTCTGTATTATGAATAACAAGGGTTATTTTACTTTCTCACACTAATGGTCCACTCTGTATATGCCACATTTGACAAAAACCAAGTGTTGGTGCCAAAAATCATCAATCATAATTAATCCTATACCTAATCTCTAGTAAATATGTAGCTCATGGTTGCAGCTCTTGAAGATTTCTAGACATGTCCATGTATATGTTAAAAAAGGTTTTTTTTTTGTTGATTTTTCTCAAAATGAAATTGTCTCCATTGTCCCGTTTTTTTAAAGTTGGAATCGTTTTTTAATGTAGACAAAATTACACTTCCTGAAATGTGGGCAGAGCATTCTGTAGATTCCTTAATATACATAAAAATGCTCTCTTTAGTTTTTTATATTACTTCTATAATTTTAATAAATTTGATCGTTTAAGATGCATGTTATTCTAGTGGCCAAATTTTGAAAACAGACTTGTTCAAAGAAAACACAATTTCGCAGAAACTCGATGTATACATTATGCAAGCAAAAGGGATATGAAACAAATACAATGTTTTAAAAAAATTTTAATAAATAATATAAAACAACACAAACTTATTTATGCCAGTCTGTACTTCCAGGTGATTTCCAATAAACATCAAGGACAAAGAACTTCCTGAAAGAAAATATTTGAATGTTATATTGCAAAATGTGATCTGAATATGCTGTAATTAATACATAATTCAGTTAAGTTTTTAATCATTGAAATCATAGCGTATATTTATTTACATCATTATAACTACTAGTGCTTTTCTGTAATTTTTTAGTACTGCAAATTTGCATTGACAAAAAAGAGTAAGGTGTAATAATTTGAAGGAATTTACTATTTTATTGGAATTTTATGGATTACATTAAACTAAATATTTAAATATCGATCTTTGTAAGTGATGATATATAAACCGTTAATATTTTTCAAACCAAAATTGCATTAGTCATTTAGTTGAAGAACATAAAATGTGTTTGTCTTACGATAAAGTTAGACAGATTCCTAAACTTACCTTTATGCAATTCATTTTGATGAACTAGAGTACAAACCGAATTTACCTGAAAAGGAAAAAAAATAATAAGTACAACTACAACTATCGGAATGCTAACAACTAAGATACACATTAATCAGAGAGGGCAAGTTGAAATCAGACAAGCTCAGCCGTCATTATAGCGTATATGTTAAAATCATCATCAAAGGATCTCGACTGTAGGAAAAATAATCGTAATTTTAGAATATGTTTCAGTAAAACCAGGAATCGCCAGTCATTTTTGCAACATATTTCTTTATTTAATACCTTGGTATCGGAAAATGAACAATGTACAAATGCAAGGTTTTAAGAAGCGTTTTTTTTTTTAATAAGTTTTTAAGAATTAAAATTTGGTGATGGCAAACCTAAAAGCCCAAGAAATGCTCTTTTCAATTATACCGAATTTATCCAAATCCATTAAGCCGTTTCGAAGTTACAGGCATTTATTTAAAACAACATTCAAATACCCCCCACCACTTTATTTCGAAAGATAGAGAAAAATTGTTTTTACAAAAAATGTTCGACTTTAAGTTATTATTAAAACGCAAATACTTTTTTGTTACATTCATTGGGGAAAATCGTGAGAAACGTAACTTTATGTAATTTAAGATGGTGGAAACGCCCACTGACTGCCATCTTGGAAACTTGAAAATAATTTCCAGCATTTTCCCTTGCCCACTCTACCTATAAAATTTTACCGTAGCTCTCTACGATCACTAGTTTCTGAGATACAGACGCTTACCTCGCTTATTTGCCCACCCTGTACAAATGCAAGGTTTTTCTCATAACGACCTTGCACACTGAATTAAAATTTTATACTAATTTGTACTCATCATTTTTTTCCAGGCGTTACGACTTCAGCTCTTATTTTATCATAAAGGTACGAGTTCATTTCGCAATTTTGGTTTGGTGATGGCAAGTTTGATTCAATTGCCACCAAAAACTCTATTTATTTGATAATAAACATGAAATAATGTCTTGTAAAGTACAGAAATGTTTAATCGAGTGTTTCAGTTTCAAAAACAACTGCACTCATCTTGTATTTCTACCATTCTCTAAACTGTGACTATCCTTATTTGAAGCCATGCAATTCAATGAATTTCAATGAGAAATTACCATAAATAATTTACAGAACGAGACAATTCTATGTTTGTTTATTTGCAAATCCTAAAAGTGCTGGCACACTTGTACACTTTTTGTATTACACAACCTGGAAAATGGCGCCATTTTGGTATTGCACTGTAAGAATAACGTTGAAAGTTTAAAAATTGCGCAATTTTTACAAATTTCACTACTTTTCAAGTTGCGTACGCTTTAAAAATTGCTACATATGAATAGTTCAAGATACTGGACTTGCGCAATATAAATATGGACCAACATGCTGAATAATGAAAATTTATTCGTATATTAAAGAGTTGCAGCTTCGGTTGCACAATTCATGTAGCAATTTTAGACATATTTTTGCTTACATGGAAACATGATGCGCAATTTTATAGTTGCGCTATAAAAACTTGCGCCGCACGAGTGTACAAATGAATAGTATCTCAAGCCTGATTTTTTTGAAGTGCAATCTTAAAAATTGTATAATTATTTTCAGTCAAAATCTAAATAATTTAATCTTATTCCGCGTCCCTTGGCTCGGTACACTGCGATTATTTTTTCTTGCAACACAAGAAAAAATTAATTGAATAAAAAAAATCAAATCAAAATAAATGTGATATTAGAAATTGGTACATTTTTAACCATTTCACTGCTCCAGACGAGTTTATTCGCTAAAAATTTATAGGACTCAAACTGCGGGCGGGCAATTATTTTTATGGAAGGAGGTACTGGTATTAATGCCAAGATTGTTCATCCCTTTCAGTTTCTATTTAATACGGCTGTCGATATATTGTATTTTATTTAAAATAAAATTGTAAAAATATCTTAGAAAATTGACAGACAAAGAACTGGAAGAAATTTTAGCGAGAAGTGATAGCGGCGACGAGTTTGAGATTGAGTAGTGATGGATGCTTTATAATAAAATATTAGTAACTAATCTATTACAATTATTTTGAAACCTTTAGACATATTTTAATTAAATTTATCACAACACTATGTGAAAATATAAGTAGTGTAACTGCTCCAGACGAGTATACTCGCACGCGGTAGCTACGTTCAGGTGTATTGCGCAGCGAAAGGGTTAAATTTGTATAAAATATTAAATCTTTATAGGAATTGATTCAGGTAGTTTTACTAATTTGGGATAAAATTACTAATATATTTACAAGGGAATCTCCGCAAAAACAATATTGTGAAGAAAAATATTTATTCCTTACCTTTCTCTTTCTCTCGAGAGTACCAATTTCTTCTTCAAGTCATCAAAAGACCTTAATCCTAAAACAACAGAATAATTTCAATTTTCCGAACGTTTGTGAACTATTAAAGAAATCATAAATATGTTGTCAGATATTATGTTATCATCAATTACATTTATGACAGGGATAACTAAATGGTCATCATAATAGAATATTAAATAAATTTCCAAGTTTCGTTAAAAAAAATCTGAAAATTTCATCCCTATCATCACGTAGAGGCATATGTGTATATCTGTTTCTTGGACTATACGGCCCTACGTCATAAGAGAGACGATTTGTTCTTTACAGAATTGAATTGTAAATACTAATTTTATAAATTAAACGAGTTATAACGATAACAATATAGGTCTACTTACAAGATTCAAATTGCATTAAAAAATACTGGGAACTGCAGTTTTTATTACTAGGTGCTAGTAACATTGCCCTTGCGGTGTTAAATCTAAAAAAGAAGGACCATGTTATAGACGGAAATTTTCAAACATATTAATTATTTTACTATTGCAAAATCAGAAATAAATGCAGCCATATTTAATAAGCATAGATAATCAGACGGTAATTATTTTCATCACAATAAACTGATTAAAATGAATAATATTGCTCTGAAATGTAAAAAAGAAATTACCTGTAATTCAATCCCAAATGATAAACTCCAATACAGATTTTGAATCTGCAAAAAATCCTAATTAGACAAAAATAAAATAATTCAAATAAAAAAATAGAAAAAATAAACCATATCAGAACATAAATAATCATGGCATTTCAGATTGACTGAGGCGTTATGAAATTTTCATCATGTTAAAAAAAGTCCAAAACAAATTCTTGTCATTCTTTAATCATGCATTAAAAAAAAGTGTAATACGAATTTTTTTGGTCAGAAAGTCATTAATTTTAAGAAAAATAGAGAAAAATGAGTGAAATACGAATACATGATTAAAAAAATTTTAAAACGCATATTTACACTTGTTTAGCGCCATTTTACAAGCCCTTCTCTCCCTATCCATCGATGTGGGCATTCCTCGTCTAAAAAGCAAAATAGGCTGGAGCACCATGATTCATATACCACATATCGCGTAGCATGGACGAGTAATGTGTGGATTTTTGTCTGACCAAATATGACCGTTATGACTACAAAGAAATTACTTCAGTTTCAGTTTAAGGAATATTTAATGTTGAAGTTACAACACTCCAACCGATTAAATAAACAATTATTTACCCCTTTTATAAACGACGTAAATGTATAATTCTTAATTTTAAATTTGATTTCAGTTGGAAAATACTTTTTTTCCTTTCTTCGTTCCTATTTTAACTATTTTGTATCAATTTAAGGAAATTAACTATTCAAATTCTAAAAATTTTCAGCATACACCTAACACTAAGGATAAAGCTTTTTTACCTGCAAGTCATTTCGAGGACTCCGTATTCATACATTATGGATCATTTTGTTAGTCCAACTAACACTTTTTGCGTCTAGAACAAAGTAACAATAATTAGAAACCTTTAGAACGATAAATAAAATATATGGAATAATTTTGCATCAGAATAATATTATCTACACAACACATATTCAGTCATATGCTTGTCTTAAAAAGATCATCATAAATACAGATACACTTGCAAAGAAAATAATTACATATTTTAAGTAGAAAAATTCTAGCAAACTTCTTTACTACTTTAGTGCTTTTAAGTTTGAATTAACAGGTCCTATTAATTTTGTAGTTTTAAGTGTATGATAATGACATTTAATCTTGTGGTGAATTTTAATAACATGCTCCCTCCCCTTGGAAGAAATGTAAAAATTCACAAAAAACTCATTTCTTTTAGAGAACATGATAACCAAAAAAACATCGTTTAAAATTTAAAATTCAAAAGACCTAAATTTTCTATTAAAATTTTAACACCCTCAAGTAAACTTTGTATATAATTATTACTGATAAGAGTACAACTTACTTTCAAAATTGAATTTTTATAACACAAGTCCACCATCCATAATTTTGTCAGGATTATAGAAACCATCTTTAATTACGCTGTTAAATTCCTGAAAAAAAAACAGATTTAAATTATTAATGCCGAAGGTAATGAAAATGTGATAGGTATTTTTCTTGTTCAGACTTGCGATAATGATAGAATCACAAAATTCATACGAACGAGACAAATAAATCATCATTTTACATAAAAACTATAAATTAAATCATAAATATATTTAAAAACTGGCAAAACTAGGACAATAAAAAATACATTCTACTGCAGGATTCTTAAGATAAAAACATAATCAATTATAATTTAATACCGGTGAAAGTAATGAAACTTACCTAAATCTGACGTGATGCACACTCTCAAAGAGCTAAAGCGCAAAAGAAAGAGCAAAAACTTACAAGCCCCCACGTCACGATGGTATTCATTTGGTACGATCAGTACAGCCAATAATAAAATAAAAAATAACTAATATCACTAGCCGTGTTTTCATCAGTCATGTACGTTTTTTTTCCAAATAGAACAGATTAAAGTGGAATGCAAATGTAAACTTTGCGCTCTTGTTTTTAGTGTATTTCCTCGTTTTTGTTGTTTAGTATGTAAAAGAACTGGTTTAACCAATAAGAAAGAAGAGAAATATGCATCTGGTCTTCCAGATTAACCATAACTTTGTCAATCTTTTTGGCAAAATTATTTCATGTAATATCAGACTTTCTATATTTTTACCCTGCATAAGAAATATCATCAGTTCAGTTGATATTAGCTACTTTTTCTGCCAAATCAACAGGTCAACTAATTTGAACCGCGTTTCTCGGAACCAAAACACACCTTTCAGTTTCCTGACCTGAGGTGCTCCTGAAGTGCTTTCGAAGTACATTCTTTTTCAAGTGGAAGCAGCTAGTAATGAACCAACAAACACAGAACCACAGAGTGTTCTGTGCACAGAAAATCCTCCAATGAACAACGAACTGTCTTAAAAGTCAAGAAAATTTCTTGAAAAATAACCTATTTTTTGCAGAGTGTTGGATTGATGTTGAATTTATCAATTATATGATAAATTTTATTACATTTTGAATATGAATTTGAAAATTGTGTAAGCATTATACACCGATAAGTAATATAAATTTAAGAAAAGTTTCATTAAAAAATATTTCAGAGAAACTTCTGAACCAGTATGCAAGGATATTATTGACGATATTGAAGACCTAATATCTTCACAAGATATAACCCCCAAGGAAAGATATAGTAGCAGAAAAAATATAAAAGTTAAGGCTAGGAAAAGATATGTAAGAACCAAAAACTTGTTCAGGTATATGTTCTTTTACTTAATGTTTATTATGTTAATAGGGTGACAATAATGATGTACCTATTCCAGTGGGAGTAAATATACCTGGAACACAAACAATTTACGTTAAAACTTGGGGGTGTGCTCACAATAGTTCAGATTCTGAGTATATGGCTGGACAGCTGGCTGCTTATGGATATAAGCTTACCGAAAACAAAAATGAAGCAGATCTTTGGCTACTTAATAGTTGTACAGTTAAAAGTCCTGCTGAGGATCATTTTAGGTAACTTACATTTTTTTATTCAACTTATAAATACCTTCATTATATTATAGTGTTTCCATTCATAAAGGAAAATAGGATAAATTGTGGATTTGTTAACTACCCGTATAAAACACTTGTGGACAATAATTTCTAGATTGTGTTGGTGCTCAAAAGATACATTTTTTTGTTGTTTGAAATAGTCACAATCTGTAAAAGTAGATTCATTTTAACTGATCAGATAATTGTTTTTAACAGTCGAAACCTCTCAAACATCTTGTAATTCTGCTCCGCCGTTTTACTGCATTTACATAACTGTTATAGGCAACTGCATTGTACCAAGTTTAAAGTGTTGAGTAGGTAATTGATTAAAAATTGTATTTAGAAAAAAATGTAGCGTTAGTTATTTTGACGATTTAAGAATAGATATATTAATGATTCATTTATAACCACTACTCTGTACTACTTGGTAAAACGATTGTTGTATAAAATTATTTTAATAGGAATGAAATTGAGTCTGCACAAAATCTAGGAAAATACATTGTAGTGGCGGGTTGTGTTCCTCAAGGGGCACCTAAGTCGTCATTTATACAGGGATTGAGCATTATTGGAGTACAACAGATCGACAGGGTGGTTGAAGTGGTCGAAGAAACTTTGAAAGGTAACACTGTAAAGCTATTGGGCACAAAAAAGGAAAATGGAAAAAAAGTCGGGGGAGCTTCATTGTTATTACCGAAAGTAAGGAGAAATCCCTTGATTGAAATCATTGCCATAAACACAGGATGTTTAAATCAGTGTACTTATTGCAAAACTAAACATGCTAGAGGAGACTTAGGTAGCTATCCACCCGAGGATATTGTTGCTCGTGCTGTACAAGCTTTCGATGAGGGGGTTGTTGAGATATGGCTGACATCGGAGGACACAGGTAATTTTTTAATTACTCTCAAATTTAATTTATTGTAATAAAATCACTGCAGATTTGCAGCGAGCGATTTTCAAAACAAAATAAAATTTAAAAAACTCTGTTACAGGAACTTATGGAAGAGATATAGGATCTTCATTACCAGAGTTGTTGTGGCAATTAGTTGAAGTAATCCCAAAGGGGTGTCGTCTACGTTTAGGTATGACAAATCCTCCATATATTCTTGAACATCTCGAAGAAATATCAAAAATTATGTGTCACCCTCGAGTTTATAGTTTTCTTCATGTTCCTGTTCAATCGGGAAGTGACCAGGTACTGGCAGATATGAAAAGGGAGTATTGTAGAAGTGACTTTGAACATGTTGTAGATTTTCTTCGGACAAGGTGAGTTTATATTTTTCTATAATGTTGATACTAGTCAATGGAATATTTTTCACTTTTTGTTGAAAGTAATATTTTTATTTTCTCATTTTTGCTAAGTCCGTTATGGACGTTTATATTAATATATTTTATGCATTGTGTAGTAATTTGAAGAATGCAGCCTTAAAACTGTGATTAAGAAAATAGTGAGTTAATTGTTTTCTTTTTCAAATTCGTATATTCGTTGGATGTGTGCAAGCTGCAAGCCAAATGACAAATTAAAAATAGTTTCAATTATACAGAATCTACTAAAAATATACTGAATTAAAGTTGTACTTTTCTTAAATAGAACATATTTTTATTTATTGCAAATCATTAAAATATAGGCCTGTTTTGTTGATGGTTTATTATAGACCTATCATTTCCGAGGGATTACAATTTCACTTAATATAGGGTTGACCTAAAAGTTAAATAATTTGTGGCTGTTTAATATTCTACAAGGGGTTAAAAATTATTTTTTTTTTAAACTCTGGACTTTAACAACAACTGTGTTGTTTGAGTAGAATACCCAATATAAACTACGCAACTAAAATTTTCATCGAAATTTTGCCATTTTTCTAATGCACATAGCTCTGTCAATTTTCATTGTGTCAAGACGATTTTTTTCATTGGTGCTCATTTAAACCATTTAAATTTTCTTCAAATTTACATATTTTATAACTTTCATTCAGAATGTCTTTTATAATACTCTGTATAGCTTAGACTATTTTCAATTTTGCCTGTAATTATTTATTTGTGGCATTTTTATAATTTTTTTTTCCATGTATTTAATTTGTCTGTATCAAAGCACTGTGATGAATCTTTTAGGATATCTGGCATGACCATCGCAACAGATATTATATGCGGATTCCCAACAGAGACAGAAAAAGACTTTGAAGAAACACTGTCTTTGTGCAAAAAGTATAAATTTCCTAGTTTATTCATAAACCAATTTTTTCCGAGGCCTGGAACACCAGCAGCCCTGCTACCAAGGATCCCCACACAAGAAGTCAAACAAAGGACCAAAAAGTTAACCGAACTCTTTTATACCTACCAACCGTACGATCACAAAATTGGCGAAGTACAAGAAGTTTTAGTAACGGAAGTGTCGCATGATAAGAAACATTACGTTGGCCATAATGAATTTTATGAGCAAGTGTTAATTCCAATGAAGAAGGAGTATTTAGGAAAACTGGTTAAAGTAAAAATTATGTCTTCTACCAAATTTTCGATGCTGGGGCAGCCGTTAGACGAAATTATAATGCCAGGTTTAGCGGAACCTCTTGAACGAGGGGAAATATCGGGTGTAAAAAGGGCTGATTATGGGGACATGATGAAGATCGTTCCTCTCGTATTTTTATTTATATCTATTGTATTAAGAATTTTATGGAATTTCATATGAATATATTTATTGTTTATTTTGTAGTAAAATACAATATCGAATAAGAAAAAAAACGTACCATTTATGTCCAAAAGGTTCACCTCTTTTTATGTAGTATGTAACTTAGGGACGATTCCAGAAGTTCTCAATAAGTTTTAAAAATTTCGATTATTAAAAATGCTATTATTAGTGGATTAAAAACTTGAAATTTGTAAACATCTTGAATAAGGACACTTCTTGTAAAATTGTTGGTACTGGTTTATTGTAGAATAGCATTTAGTATTTTTCAACAAAACACTACACATTTTTTCTATGGAAACGCCTCATTTTCATTTAAAAAAAATTGAACAAGGGGAAAATAAATAATACAACAATGCTTGACTTTGGCAGGTAAAAAAATTATATTTTAATATAAACTACATACAACCTAATAAATACCAAGCAAAACTAGATGGCCATGGCATGACACTAGCTAGAAGACAGAGCATGTAAAAATTACAATTTTTAAGCTATGAAAATTCATATAATTTTTTTTTGTTGAAAATATTGTATTCATGCAGTTTCATTTACTGACCTATACAGGGTGGCATAAAAGTATGGGAACCACAAAAAATCTCGCGAGATATGCATTTTCTGGAAAAACCAAACCCTTTTTGACCCCAGAAATGGAAAGAGCGAAAAGTTTTACGTTCAGATATGACCTTGACCATTCCAAAAATTTCAAAATGGCGGCAAAATCAAGAGGGCGGACGAAATTTTAGAAAGTTAACCGATTGTCACCAAATTTTGTATACGGAGGTTTTTGAGGTCGCTGATCATGAATCAGAGGTCAGATTTTCAAAATTCAAGTGGTGGGTGGTTTTTTTAAATTTAATCAGAGTGGACCAAATTTGATATTTCGTCCGCCATCCTGAATTTGGCAAATTTGACCTCGGATTCGTGATCAGCGCCCCCAAAAACCCACGTTTTAAACTTTTGGTGCAAATCGGATGATTTTTAAAAAATTCGTCCGCCATATTGGATCTGCCATCTTGATTTTTAAATCCGACCTCGAATTCGTGAACAGCAACCTCGAAAACCTTCGTATACAAAATTTACTGACAATCGGGTTAGCTTTCATAAATTTCGTCCGCCATCTTGATTTTGCCGTTTTGAAATTTTTTAAATGGTCAAGGTCATATCTGAACGTAAAATTTTCCACTATTTCCATTTCCGGGGTCAAAAAGGAGGGTTCCCATTTAAAAAAATTGGCTTGACCCCATAATAATCACGTGGTCAGTGATCATGGCATGATTACCATTGAATAGCCAGGGAAAAATCCTAACTTTCCCTATATTTGTTTTTTTCGGAAAATGTATATCTTGCGAGATTTTTTGGGTTCCCATACTTTTATGTCACCCTGTATATTAGTAGTAGTAGTAAAAGGAGCAGCCTCAGCCTGGCAATTAGGCCACAAGTGGGCCCTTTTTGCCTACCCCACCGTCCCATCACCTAACCACTCTCTGCCTCTGACCCTCCACGAACCTACCCCTGTATATTAAAAATAGTAAGACTTATCAGAATATAAAACTTTCCACACTAGTTGGATAAAACCGCAAAACTATATTATATCAGTCGGATTGTTTTTATATACACCGAAAAAATTACATTTAAAATAAATAGTTTGAGAATAAAGGGATTTTTGTAGGAACAAGGGTGCCAGACGTGAACTGATCTCTTCGTCCCTTCATAATGTATAAAGAAATTATTCAATTTCTAAACCCCTTAAAAGCATATTGCACTGGATCCCTTGATAGGCAATGATTTATTACTTTGCATCGAAGATGATCCTACTATAGTGCTTTTTATTACCAACTGAAATGTAATGACAAAAGTCTCACATTTTGCTCGGAAGATGATTTTTCTTAGACTAAAATGAGCTTACAACAGCGTTAAGTAAATCGAAAATAACTATTCCTTCCACAAAAGCTGTTTATGGGAGTTTTTAGTTAAAAATACAATTTTAAATTCAACGTAGTGTCAAAAGTTCAAAAAACCAATGGCGGAGAAATTTTGAAATTCTTTTAGTTCTACGCCAATAATTATTTGAAGTTTTGTCACATTACATTGTATTTAAAATGTATTTCTAATTAAAAAAATTCTCAAACTATTTTTCTGAAACTAATAATAATTATTAGTTTCATTATTGTGTTGTAACTTCATTTAATATAAAAAAAAAATTAAACTAAATCGGTTTGTTCTTCGGACAAAATGTAAAATGTTTTTTCTTAGGAATTCAATTGGGAATAAAAAGGACCATTCAAATTTGTAAAATACCCATTCGTGTCAAAATTCTGACATTGCTAGTAATACCGACTCTTCCTAGTACCTCCGTCACTGGTTAACATATTTTTAGGTACACTTAGTTTGTACTTCTACATAGATAAATCAAAGATTCATCAAACATCCTCAGAGATTTCAGAAAATGTGATTTTTTTCTATTTTCAACACCCTGTATCTCAAAAAAGAAATGAACTACGACCTATGTTCAAATGGAACTTTTTGCTTAAAATTTTTCCCCTTGCTAAAAGAGATATTTACTGAACACCTTGTTATCTTTTTCTTCTGTATAATTTTAAGTATTTTATTTTTTGGGCCACTGTATATTCCAGTTTTCTTTCTAAATGAAGATATCAAACTGCCGTTTTTACTGACATTTCCTTCGTTATTTTTTTAACTAAGCAACATATATGCAACTTTTAATGAACTGGGAAAGCCAAAATAATTTTATATAATAAACATCTCTTTCTAATGGGACCAAACTTACAAGTTTACTGAAGCCATTTTTTTTCAAACGATGTTCTACCTTCCCTTCTGCTCTTATTTGAAGAGTTACATAAAAAAATGTATATGTATGAAATATCGATGCTCAAGCATATTACGTTATCAAGCCATGAATTAAAAAAAAATTTCCAGCGATTTCTCTTGGCCACTTTTACTAAACGAATTTTTTCGTCAATGCTTTGCCACGAACTGCTCCTAGGATATAGACAACACCCGATGGTTCGAAAAAGTTCGACATCGCTACAAAAAAACTGCCTTAATACTTCATTTACTTAAAAATTGTAACTTTAACATAAAAGCGATAAATAGCGAGTCCAGAAAATATAAATACATACATCATAGTCACACAACCACAGTTTTAAGTACCCTTATAAATAATATGTTACTATTTTTGGTCTTCAAATACTCAATTTGGCAATTTATAGACGTCACTGGGGTCAGTTCCAAAATCTATAAAGGCCTTTCGTTAAACGTTAGAAATATGGCAGCAAGGCGCTTAAGAAAATTTATGACTAGAAAAGAATCTAATCTAACCCTCACAGATAACAATAAATTAAAAAATATTTACCGAAAAAAAGAAGGGTAATGTGGAACAGCCAACAACCTTATATATAAAAAATTAGCGAGTCCAATCCCAGGATTTTGGAGTCTTAAAATCATTTTTTTATTTGTTTTTGTATATTTTCTTGTATTTTATTTTTTGTGTTTTGTATTTGGTTTTACCTTTTTTTGTATTTAGCTTCTAAGTGACGGTGATGTCACTTCTATAGCAAAAGCATTCTGTTAACCCAATATATACCATTAACTTGAATTTACAGACTTGGAAAATGAATTCAATTATTCTTTTCTTTTTGACTGAATCCCGATCCCAAAAACCGGACTCCCTATAAAAAATCGATAACGAAACAAAAAAATTTAACAGTCAGAAGGTTCTGTTCCAAAATATCTGTCGCCGAAGTTACCGATGCCGGGCAGTACATAAAACTTATCGTTAATTTCGGGGTCGATAGCGGTAGTTACGATTTGAACTTTAGGAAAAGCGTATGCGATCGACTGCACACCAGACTCCGCCATAAGCAACGAAACGATCAGGATGTTATTTTCGAGCACGTCGTGATCCAGCAGAACCCTTATCGCCATCATAGCGGCGGCTCCGGTGGCGACAGTTGCATCCATTAAGATTACTTTGTAGTCCTTTATGTCCTTGGGAAGTCGTAAATAATATAACTGAAAGGGAAATATATATAAATATTAATTCTGTTTAGGGTCATTTGAAGTCCAACTGAAAAAAAAAACAGCTGCATACGCACTGTGTTCTGGTAGTAGCTGTAGTCGCCCAGGTGCATCGAGTGTATAAAGTGGTTGGTTATACGTCAAATACTAACCTGGCGAGCTTGGTCGTAAATCAGAGAGTGCCTCCAAAATACAAGTAAACAACAGTGGCGCGTACAAAGGTAAAATGTAGTACATATGTGGAATTTAAAAAAAAAATTGGATTTATAATAAATTGCATTTAAAATAAATAGTTTATGAGAATAAAGGAATTTTTGTAGGAACAAGGATGCCAGACGTGAACTGATCCCTTCGTCCCTTCATAATGTATAAAGAAATTATTCAATTTCTAAAACCCTTAAAAGCGTATTGCACTGGATCCCTTGACAGGTAATGATTTATTACTTTACATCAAATATGATCCTACTATAGTTTCTTTTTATAATCAACGTTTTTGAAAAAATTACTTAATTTTTTCATGTCAATTTTAATTTTTTTCTGAATGGTGGAATGTATATCTAACAGTGCAAATTAAATTTGCTCCAGTAGATATTAAAAAACCAACAAACATATGACACAGGTGGTATAGCTGTTACAATCTCAATTGGAACCGCATAAAAACACTTAACTCATAAATTCTATGATCCTATCGTCTACATAAAGTATATTCCGAGCTACATTCCTATTTAGATGTCGATATTCTCTAATTTTTTGTAAATAGTCTTCCCGAAGTGCGACTATACGTCGTGATTCCATAATTACCATACAATTGTCAAGTTTTTTATGTTTAAAATCGCATTGTAATAAAACGTGTAGTAAAATATCTGAAGATATATAATTATAATCAGGATAATCGCTTAATTTATCTCGAATCATGTTAAAAGTAGCAACTTTATTTTGCCCCGTATTACATCTCTCGTAAAATCGTCAATATTCTTTAATTTTCTATTCTTCCGTTTCCTCTTTGTACTGTGATTAATACCGTCTCCTTTAATTATGCAATAAATTATCGTTTTTGATATATTCGTTAATTCGCTAATCCGTTCGATTATTTGGGGATTTTCCCGGGTTATTTCGTTATCTTACCTTTAAAAGAGTCTCCAGAAAGCTATGCTAAATTACTAGATAATTACATATAATATATTTATTTTAATTACTATTACCCTTTACTGGTTACGATATGAACAAATAATAACTAATAATTAATAATACGTATTATAGCAACAATATACCACTGCTCTCCACTGCACTGGCAAAGCCAAGTGAACCACCTTCTACACCAAACTAATTATAGAATACCATGCAAAAAATTATTTATGACCTAGTGGACCAATACAGGTTTCTTTTGATGACCAGCGTGCCGCTGTCGATTCTATATCAGGCGGACTGGTCCACCAATACCGGACTCACCCAATGGCTATTTGAGTATAAATTACGAGACAGATTATGGCTAAAGCATAGGCAGAAACTTCAAAAGAAGTGCTTTAAGATTCACAGATTCATATTGTTATCATAACAACTATACAGACAGGTGATATAAAAATTAGTAGGGACATTCAGTGGCAGCACTTTGTAAATAAAGATCGATTTTAATTGGAATTTGAAAAACTCCAAGAAAATTGGGATTTTGGAGAAAATTTACAGATATATTTTAATTAAAGCAAATAGCGAGAAAATCAATAAAAATAAAAAGTGTTTTTCAAGCAGTGACCCTTATTTTTACGAGAATATCAACGGAAAATAAAGTAGTTTAACACAATCTCTGTAATAAAACAGCTACAAAATTGTCACAGATGTTGCCGTTATACATTTTTAAATTAATCAAAACAAAAAGAACAATGCAATGGACATAATAGTTTTATTTAGCTATGATTTCGTTCACAATTGTTCTGATTCTGAATGGTCAATTATGCGAGATTAACTGGGATCCCAGATGATAAAACACTCTAGATTTCACAAATGGTGGTGTGGAGAAATCAATAGATAACAAGTACGTAATTTTTATCATGTCAAAATGTTGTCCAAATACAAATTCACTCATAAGATGGCAGACATATAAAATAACGATTTATAGAGATCAAGAAATGCAATATTTGCAAAAAAAAAATTCAAAAACGTTTAGAATTCACTCTAATTATGAATTGTCAATTTTAATTTGGTATAAGTAGCATCAAAACTACTTTAACAATATTTTTGTTGTACGCGGAACGCAAACGGCTCCATTTGTCACGCTGACTTCCAACTATGCCATTCAGATGGCTACTACAGAAGGAAGCGACTTTCTAAAATTTGCCAGGTACTTTTGTTGCACGACTATCGCGAACAGCGCGAAAACAAAATGTTTAAATTGCCAGTGTTTTTATTTTTTTTATGGATAAAAAAAAACTGCGAATGGAAAATAGGTCAAATAGCCCAAAACCTAACTCGTATCATTCAAAGATGTAAAATTATCGATCAGTAACACTCTTCCCTGCACATTGGACAAATTTATAAAATTATTAAGGATAAAGAATAAAGAACTTAAAGGGATATATACAATTACAACAATCAGAAAATCGATTTTTTTTTATATTCTGAAAGTTTCAAAGCGAAATTCGAAAAACTTTGGAAGTTATAGCCCGTAAACATTGTGCATGTCCGTTCAGGTTCAGAGCGCACACCACATGTTTCTACCTGCTTCTGCAAGAGCACACAGGTATACTCGTCGACTAGATGTTTGTAGGAGAATTAACGTTTTTCGGACGAGTTTTGGGAAATAGCCGGATAAGTTTTTTTACAGTTTATAGTTGCCCACAGCAACATTCGTTTCTCGAACGACTCCGTCTGCAAAGGATAGAATAGGAAGGCAGATTTACCGTTTTTCTCGAAACTACATTTCTGAAACTATTGCACAAAAACTATTGAACCGATCGAGTTCCCTCTTGGTAGAAATGTTAATAACATTATTACTTTCTTTATGACGGAAATTGAAAATTTTGAAAATAAACTATTTTTTTATACAAATTCTGTAGAAATTTCACATGAAAATTCAATTCTTGTCTTTAAATGCGTGCCCTTTTTTCACATTTGCATTTTTTCCATTTTTCTCAACATCACATAGAAACTACATGTTTTAAACAAGAAATTTTTTGTATTTTGATGCAGATCGAATTTCACCGGGAGCTAGGCTGTACACCATTTTGAAAGTCTCGCCGCAACCTTGCTGTGACTCTACTACAGCTCTGCCATTTTGACGATGAATGATTTCAAAAGAAAATTTTTTGTACTTGAATATCCTACAGTCCGATGAATGTAGAATGAATATTTCTTAATTTAAAAAATTCCTAAAAATTGACTCATTTTCCTCCGTCTTATTGTATATGTGCCCTTAACCCAATTGTAGAATAAAATTATCTAGACATCGACACTTACTTCAGGTTCTCCGGTCTGGAGGTTAGTCTGGATCAATATTTTTCCTATTCTAATATCTTTGCAAACATCACAAACAGCTTGCTCCATGGTTTCGCCTGCTCTTAAAATCGAGACACCGCATATATTGTTTGTAGCCATCCTTTTCCCTATAAATTAATAAAAGCTTTTTTACTTTATCGACACCTATTATGAAACGGAATCACCTTGATATAACACCCCTTGGGGTGTTTCAACAGTTTTATCGATAAAAGTCATCAGGGAAAGTGTATATTCGATGACAAGTCGGATCAACCGCTTACTGTAGAATATAAATTCATCTCGCGGAGTGTCTTTATTCCTGATGAACGTGTGCAGTCCACGAATTTGAGGGGTTGTAGGCAACAGTTTTACGGTGTCTGGTCTGGGTTGCTTGTTAACGGCATAAGCTTGTGCCAGTTCTTCTCTTAGCTTCAAACCCCTCTGAAAAGATAATAAATATCGCAAACAAGTTTAAATTTCATTCTTTGTGTATCAGTTATTTGCAGGTAAATGGTAGGGATTCTTTGTAACTTTGTTTATTTTGAGGTTTATAAAATTAGGCAAGCGTTATGAATAAAATTCAACACATAAAAAAAAATTTAAAGTGTCAAGAATTGTTTTCCTTGTGCTGTTTGTGCCATTTCTTAAAAAAAATATGACATTAAAAAAAACTGAGTACACTGCAATGTTCGAAGTTGAATTGAGATATACAGGGTGTTAGAAGTTTGACAGCCTTAATTTTAACATACGATAGAATACATTGAAGAGAAAAAAATTTTCAAAATCTCCAATTTGATGTACAAAAGTTTGTTTAAGGAATATTGACATAACTGCGTGCATAGAATACCATAAAATACAATGTTTATCACTTTTTTTAACTTCTTTATGCTTAATTTTAAAAAAATAATCAGCGTTGTATTTCCTTGAGGCGTTTTCCAACGAGTGCGCGAAAATTGGATTCGAAGGTGTCGTGAGTGTATCGAAAATAGTGGACATTTTGAGCATATGTTGTAGTTTGTTTTGTACTTGTGCGTTTAAAAATTACTGAATTTTGCTTTTTGGCAAGTACCTAAATTATTTTTAATACGTATGATTATTTGGATGACGTGAACTTTAGGTAATACTTTAATTAAATATTTTTCAAACACGTAATTTGATTAAAAGTTAAGTTCCTGTTTTAAGAGATTCATAATTACTAAAATTCACGCTAAAATTTGAGCACAAAACTATCTTCGTAATACAAAATCGATACATTTTATTTTATTTATTTAAAAACTGGAAAACAATTGTCTTGAAATTTACTAAATGTTTCACAATCATAGTTGTTTACATTTTTTCCATAGGACAAGGCTTACACTAGAATAATTTTGTGTAATAAAATCCAAGTAAAAAAAAATGGCAAAAATAGATGTTTTTCTTAAAATTGCAGTAAATTTTTTAACCTGAGGAATCTTTCAGAAAATGCTTTTCAAATTCATGTATAATAAACTCCCGAAACCTGCTATTGGACAGATGAGTCGTTGCCGAGTTATTGGCAATGCTCGGGAATTATCCGGAACTTTGGAATGATTTAAAATTTTTTTTAGACTGCATCTTTGCAAAGGGTGTTAGAAGTTTGACTGACTTAATTTTAACAGACAATAGAATACATCAAAATAACCAAAAAAACCTTATATGATGTGGGTCCTAAACTCAACCATTTCCAAGAAAAAATTATGAAAATCTCCAATTTGATGTAAAAGTTCAATTAATTAAGGAATATTGACATAACTGTGTGCATACAATTCATAAAATATAATGTTTATCACTTTTTTGAACATCTTTAAGCTTATTTCTAAAAAATAATTAGTGTTGTAATAAATTTAAAATTCAATCAAATTCATATCGAGCAATGTGACAACGGCTGGGCGGATAACACTAGGTACTAAGCTGTCAGCTCTTCAGCAATACGCAATTCAGTTGGTATCTGGAATTCGACCGTATCGGAGTGTTTTTTGTGTATCATTATTTCCTTTTTTCTTAGGTGTTTCTCCTTGCTTTTTTAAAATGTTTACCATATGTGAGTATCACGATATGTTATAAATTTATGGAGAGGCTCGACGCATTTACCGTCGACGTTTTCCCCACCGGCACGTCCCTAACAGAAAAATATTCGTTCAAGTTACACAAGCTGTCCATCAAATAAGGGTAAATCTGGATATTTTCAATCGAGTGCATGAAAATTGGATTATTGGAAATTATTTTTAATACATCTGATTATTTGGATGATGTATATCTTTGGGTACTTTAACTACATATTTTTCTAAAAGTTAAGTTTCTGTTTTAAGAGATTCATGATTACTAAAATTCGAGCTAAAATTTAAGCACAACACTATCTTCGTATTACAAAATCGATACATTTTATTTTATTTATTTAAAACTGGAAAACAATTGTCTTGAAGTCTACTAAATATTTCACAATAATAGAAAGTTTACATTTTTTCCATAGGACAAGTTTTTTTTTTAAGTTTGTATAAATGAAATAAATTTAAAAATTTTTACTTAAAATCTTTAAAACAAATAAAAATAAATATGGGCGTTAACAATTGACGTCATTTTAAAATTCCAATAACATTATTGTGTATAGTTAATAATTAGAACAATAGCTATGTTTTACGTTCTATGCATATAGCAGACATATTAGAAAATAAATGAACTAAAACTTACTTATACTCTGTAAAAATTTTAATTAATGCAGATTTACACTTGCTGAAATTTTTAATAGGAATTACCAAGAAGCGAAAACATTATCAACTAAATCATGTTATACGTACCAACTGAAGCTGCGTTTGAACATGCTGGACTATAAGTTGAATAGCAACTTCATTTTCCCCACCGCGAGGTACAATTATATCAGCATGACTCATAAGAGGTGCTATGTAATGATTGAATGATGGTTGCACCATTGAAGTATACTGTTTAAGAACCCCGTCAAGGTCTCGTCCCCTTTGCGTTATATCTCTCCTCAACCTCCTGGCTAATCTGACATCCGCATCAGTGTCGACAAATATTTTCATATCCAACATTTCAGTTACTTTGGGGTTGTGAAACGCTAGTATACCCTCGAAAATTATGACGTTCGCTCCGTACATCGTTTTCTGTAACAACGACGGGTAAAATATGGTATAAAATGATAAATAAAAATACCTACGGTTCGGGATTCCCTAGAATGAGTTACAAAGTTGTATATAGGTACTTCCACCTTACGACCCTCCTTTAATCTTTGCAAGGTCAATACCAATATATCAAAATCAAAGGCGTCAGGATGATCAAAATTATATTCGTTTCGATCTGCGATTTCATGTTGTTTTTCATTTAGTACCTTGTAAAATGAGTCCATACTAAGTAATGTAACCCAGGGAACTCCTAACGATTCTATAATTTTTTCTGCAACTGTTGTTTTCCCTGACGCGCTGCCCCCACATATTCCTAAATGTCAATTTTAGGTAACATTTCGATTACTATTTTAGCAATAAGAAGTTAAAATACATACCAATAACAAACGGTTCAACTTTTTGACCTTCGCTGTTGTACCATGGTGGTCTGCCCGCTGTATATATTGTACGATGCTGAGTACGAATCATTGATTCTGCAGCTGATTTCTTTGAAGATTGATTTAAAGATGTTGTTCGCTGCCTTCTAGACCGTGGTGACTTTTGTGACCCTAATTAAAAAAAATTAGTATTTAGTAAAAAATTAAATAATGTAGATCAAAAAACCTGTCGATGGTGGCCTGGGACAATAAGGAACTGTTATAGGTGATGCTGGGGTATTATAAAAGTCGCCGCTTTTTTCCTCGTCAACATCACAATCTGGAAACACCTCTGAGAAGTCACCTTGCATTTCTTCAATATCACTGCAAAAAAAATTAATATTGACTTTATATCATAGATTCAGATTTTTAAATCACTGATAATTAATAGTGTAATTATTAAAAAAACAAATAATAAAATCACATGTTCGTTCTATTTTTAGTCAAACAGAATGAATTGGTTTTCTTACCTTTCAGAACTAGCTGATGACGGTGGATCTAACGTATTTATTTTAGCAGCCATCATGTATAAATTTCAAAATAAAGTAATATATATCAGGAATTTTGCAGTTATGTATGTTCAAAAATGATAAGCTGATGATAATTCCAAATCTATTAGTTTATATTTATTTAAACTAAGATTTGTTGTCAAATGTAAATCCTTATTCAGTGCAACCACTGCAACCACCACAGACCAGTGACTTCTATATTCTTTTGTTATTGTTGTGTTGACCATGGAGACTATACAAGGAGCCCGAACTCCATGTAAATAAGAATCTTACAAAAATAAGAGGGCGCTAGTGTTCCATATGTCCCATATGTAGAGAGGGGAGATAAAAAGCGGCAGTTTGAATTATAAATCAATCATGTCATTTTTGTAATGTGTTAAAAATTTTAAAATAAATAATGTAAGCTACTTTGAATTATATAAATCATGAAAATATGTCATTGCGGACTGTAATTAAACTAAATAGATAATAAAAAATATTAGCTTTATGAGAAGAATTTGGTATTCGTAAAAAGAAACTAGTTTTCAAGGAATTTATGACGTGATCTTGTTAATATTAACCTATAAGTAAGGTTTATGTTTTTGATAATTACTTTGTTAAAGATTTTAGTTTAATGTTAGTAAAAGTCACATTTTATACAGGAAGTTGCCTTTAAAAAAATAGTAATTCTTGTATTATTAATATGGAATTTTTACTTGTGGTAATAAAAAATAGAATATAAAAAAACTCGGTGTTTTAAATAAACTTTTTAAAATATTACAGATGTCCGATTTTGAGTCCAGTGATTCAGATGACTTATTAGACGTATTGTCCAGCTTGAGAGTGATGATGAAATAGATTTATTCTAAGAAACGGATAGAGTAAAAAATAAGAACTACTTTGAAATTATTGTACCTGAATATAGTGGCCAAGTTTTTTTAACATTTCCGTGTTAGCATATGGGAAGTAGCTAACAGAATTGAAGAAAAATTTGTCATTTCTAATTATTTCACCCATGATTCTGGTAAATTTTGCATTGCCTTAAGCTCTACAACAACCAGAAAAGTTACATACTTGCTAAGTAACTTGTCTCCATAAATTATAGAATGGCCGAGATAATGAGGCAGTTGTAATCGAACAATATTTTGCCCAATATGAATTTCCAGAGCAGGTTATAGGAATAATTGATGGGAAAGGAATTCATATAAGATAGAGTATATCACAATCCATATTTTTTTTGGATAACCAATAATATACTATATTATAGTGTAACTGAAAACTGACTATGGAAAGTCGATAAATTATGGTTGGACTTTTCTAAGCTGATTGCCATGTTGTCGGTTTAGACTTCTCAATGCTTCGAGAGTCATATCGCTCTCTTCTCAAAATGTCAAGAAGCTTAAAACAACATAACCAATTGATACCAAAATTTTAACAAAATATAGGTACTCCATTATAAAGGTCACAAAAACTAGGTAATCTAAATATTTTATAACTGTTTAAAATCGATTAGTTTTCTGGGTATATATTTTAAAATTGCTGTAAAATTTAATTCTACTTTCGTAAAATTGTTGATTTAATTCGAACGTAACATGGTTCCATGACTTATTTCAAGGTAGAGTATAGACCAAAATTAATAAGGTATTATAAAGAAATATTTTAGCAATGTTCTATATTTTTGTTACATATTTTGTAAAATTAAAAATAAAATGTTTATCTACCAAAGTTTTCAATGTTTTATTAATTGAATAAAAAAAACGAAATTATTTGTGCCTAATTAAAATAAAATAAATATTTATTCATAACAAACAAGTAACAAAGTAAATATATATTACAAATAAAACAACTTAAAAATAAGTAATACGTGTCAGTCTATCTTCTTAAAATTTCATTTTGTTCATGAAGCAATTGATTTCCACGTTTAAATATTTAGTAAAAGTAGTCAATTACCAATACAGATCGATCAGCATCAAACAAGTATCCTCTCTTTAAATTTTATATGATATCTGAATTTCAATCAGTTTTTTACTAACAGGAAAGAAACGGCAACTAATTGGAAATGATTTATTCAATTCAGTAATGATAATAGCGATGTCACCAGCAAGAATTATATGAAAGATACGAATTTAATTATTTATGCACGTAATATAAATTACAAGAATATGTAGAAATAAATAAAGTATACTTTGTTGCTATTGTCAATATTATGTGAACATATTCATAGTTGCTTTGTCGAGACCTCATCACACGTCAACAGAACTTTTCTTTTATTAGATTATACAGGACAGGATGCTCACTTTCTAGTATAATCTCATCGTAACTTAATTGCTCTTAATTTACTTGCTGTTCTTGTTGTTGTTGTTGTTGTTGTAACTGTTGCTCTTGTTGTAGCTGCTGCACCTGTTGATACTGGTGTAGCGGATGCTCTTGCTGTTGATGCTGCTGCAAAATATATAAAGAAACAATGCATCATTCAATTATACAATATTTTCACTTATGAAATCTTTCTATTTAAAAATTTCTCTACCGTATTAAGAATCAAAGAAGCTGCTTCCAACTTCCGAATTATTCGACCTTTTGCCATAATATTAACCCACTATTCGGTCAAGTTGTAATATAGAACTGCTGGACATCATCAGATTGAAAATGCAGATCACAAACGTACTGTTTTATTTTAAATCTGTCGACAGTCATTCCCTTCACATACTATTACTAGATATGTGCTATTACCATATTTAAATTATTTTCGAAACTTTTTATTTACCATTTATAAAAACAAATTGTAATAATTATTGACTTGACTTCTAGTTTTTAGGTTTAGTATACCTCCCCGCTCCCCAATATATCTACTAAACTCGATATAAATAAAATAAAATTGGTTATTTGCTTACTTCACTCGTATTTGTGAAGCTACATTCATTTCGGTCATATGGAACACTAGCGCCACCTCAACTTCTGCCATTTCTTGGACAAATTTTGTCAATTTTTCCGTATGAGTTCGTGCTCCTTATCTAGTCTCCATGGTGTTGACTGTCAGCCATAGAATTAAAGGAGATACTACCAACTAGAGATGTGTTGCGATTTCACTCTCTTCTAAAAAATAAGCTATTTTTGGCGAATTCACTATGTGAGACTTTCTTATAGCATGCTTACGGCGACGGTGTAGACGAGTGACAGAGAGAGAAAGAGCTAGTTTGGGTATCTTTGCTTGTGGGGGTAATGCAGAGATAATATCTCTGGGGTAATCACATTTTTAGCGAATTTCCGTTCTTACACATTTTATATTTTTGTTATACATGGATGCGAAATTTGTTTGAATCCTTTGGCGACATCGGTAGAGAGTTAATTTTACTTCTTGCTACAAAGTTACGTGGTAATTTCAAGAATTTTTATTTTAAATCATATATATATGAAAATAACCCTATGACAACAATTCTTTTGTAAAGTGAAGCAAATAAATAATAATATTACTAATTTTGCTAGGTTATCCGAATAATATATTCTAATTTTAAATTTGGAAATTTTTCAGAATTGTGATATGTCCGCTGAAAATAACGACATTGCTTCTGTCTCAAATCTTGAGATTTCCCGCTGGGAATATTTCCAAATAAAAAATCAACTTATTTTGAAATTACCAAACTGATGAATTTAAATTTTGAGCACCTTTACCTACTATTACAACATTTTGGTGATTTTAGTGGGGCCTAATAGATATTTGGTATTTTCTTCTATTGATTTAGTAGATTTCGATAGATATTACTTCAAAATCCAGTAGAAATTAAAAATAAGTGATCATACTGTTTGGTTTGCGGATTTAATTAATAAATTAACATTCTACCTCTATTAATCTGCCTATACTGTTCCTACTGATCTGCACTGTGTCCTACTGATGTGTCAGTTTCTTTCGGTGAACTAGTTCTCGCGGATTAGTTTACTGAAAAGAATTTAGATTAAAAATAACATATATGTTTCTATGATATGTCTATGTTGTTTATTAATTTTACATCAATAAATAAATAAACAACTTAACGGCTCGAGAAGATGTTTTTATTTGTAGATAGGTACTTAATCTACAACTTCACTGGTATAATACGTGACAGACAACATGCGAAACGGCTTGCCACCCGCACCCGCCTCCCACGACACAGACATGACTTAAACGTACTTAACAGACGGGTGAAGGCGGCTCTGGGTGAACTGGCCCAGGACAACTGGGCTAGGCACCTGGAGTCGCTGGATCCACAAGACAACAGCCTCTGGAAAACGCACAGGGCCCTGCGACAGACCGCTCGCCGTAAAATTCCTCCAATCCACGGTAGTGTGGGGGTGGTTTACACGAACCAGGAAAAGGCCGAGGCTTTCGCCGATAGCCTGGAACTGCAGTGTAGACTGCCTCAGCTGCCCGACGAAGACGAGGAATTCGAGATAGTGGCTGAGCGCGCGGCCCGACGCGTCGACAGAGAGCCAGACAATGACATAATCCCCCCCGCAACACCTGACGAACTAAGACTGACAATACGCAGACTTAAAAACAGAAAAGCCCCCGGACCCGACAATATACATAACACGACACTTAAACGACTACCACACAAGGGCCTCATGGCCCTACTAAACATAACAAACGCGACACTCAGACTAAGACACTTCCCTACCCGCTGGAAAACAGCAAACATAATCCTTATCCCAAAACCCAACAAAGATCACACCATCCCATCCAACTACCGGCCCATTAGCCTGCTCCCGGCTATGAGCAAAGTGGTAGAAAAAATTATCCTAACCCGTCTAAGAACCCACTCCCAAGAACTGCAAGTCATTCCAGACGAGCAGTTCGCCTTCCGACCCAATCACTCCACTGAACTCCAAATCCTTCGCCTTACCGAGCACATCACGGCGGCCTTCAACAGGGGACAGTACACTGGTGCTGTCTTCCTGGACGTCGCAAAGGCCTTCGATACGGTTTGGCATGAAGGCCTACTGATGAAAATGCTCACCAACCAATATCCCATATCCTTTACCAAACTCATAAAATCCTACCTACACCACCGAAAATTCCGCATCCAAATCCAAGATTCCCTTTCCACCACCCGTCCCATGGAGGCCGGTGTCCCCCAGGGCACCGTCCTGTCCCCACACCTATACACCATTTACAACTCCGACATCCCACATCCCCCCAACACCAACATATACTTATACGCCGACGACCTGACAATCACATCCCAATCCGTAGATCCTAGATATTCCGTCTCCCTCCTCCAAAACTCCTTAGACCAACTTGAAACCTGGTGCAACAGGTGGAAAGTCAAAATTAATCCCAACAAAAGTTCGGCTATCCTTTTTACCAAACGAAAAATCCCACAAAACCTCGACAGACTGACACTATCCCAGGAACCTATCTCCTGGAATCGACAAACACGATACCTGGGCGTGACGATGGACCAGCGTCTCACGTGGAAACCGCACATCGTGGAGACGGTGGCGCGAGCGAAGACCACCAGGGCTAGGCTCTATCCCTTACTCAAAGGTGGAAACACCCTCAGTTTAAGGAATAAGCGAACGCTTATCAAGGTGGTACTTCAACCGCAGCTAACCTACGCCTCCACGGCGTGGGGTCACGCGGCAAAAAGCCACTTAAAGTCATTACAGGCTGTGGAAAACATAGCCCTCCGCACGGCCACCGACGCGCCCTGGTACGTAAGAAACACTGACATATTACGAGACTTACAATACACAAACGCTACACAGACAATAAGACAAAACGCGGAGAAACGATTTGACGTAGCCGCTAGACATGACAATCCCCTCCTCAGGCAAGCCGTTGACTACGTACCCGACGTGACCGACAAACACAAAAGACCTAGACACCAACTTTTTGACCCTGGGTGACCACCCCAATGACCCCCCCCCTGCCCGCTAACCTTTTCTGTTTCAGAGACAGCCAGGATCAAGAAACGAAGACAACGACACACACACACACATACACACCCCCCATACCCTCCTTAACCCTCCCCTCCCGCGCTAGCCTAAGGGCCACCTTAGCAAAGCGCATCCCAGGCTGCATAGCCGCACTACCCTACCCAACCATACCACACATAAACATGACACTACCCCCGGGGTTTACACAGACGAGCCGGCGAAGCAAGAAGAGCGCCAGAAGAAAGGGCCCTAGCCGGCGGGGCCCAGCCAGGACAAAAGGAGGTCCCACAAAGCGCCTACACCGGCCGCATTTGCGGTCGGGGTAGACGACGGATGGGGCCCACCTACGAAGGCTGTCCAGGCCTACACGAGATGAGGCAGGATAAAGAGGGATAATCCCCCTCGATCCCAAATCATTGAGGCCAATTTCTAGCCATAGAATAATGGCGCGGCGCGATTGCATTTTAGTATGTTTAGTATGAGTTTACACTCGTTCGCGAATTATTATTTTAAATTGTAAGGGTTTCGTTCACAATAAACTAGACTAGACCGCCGTTTACATTTCGCAAACTTGTTCATTTAGTTCGCGTGAAAGAACGTTCGTTTTTCTAGTTAGTTCAGGAACACAGTATACTATAGTATACTGTGTTCAGCAGGATCAGGAACGACCCATCTCTAGTGTGGAATGTAAAAGCGACAGTCGACAGATTATTTATGTTTTAAAATAAATATTTAATTAAAACATTGTAAATTTTGTTGAAACTGTGGCATAGAAGTGAATGTAATTTAGTACAATCGAATGGATATATTATTTTCAGTTGTAAGGATATCTAGGTTGTATTCATAACATTTTAACATGAAGTGAAGTTTTAGACATGGCGGCTACTAGAAAATTACAAGGTAACAAAATGTACCTAGTACAATCAGTCTTCAAATATTAGTTCATGTTCTTTATACTTTAAATTAAAATTGTGGGTTATTTACTAATCGTTTGTTGTGTAGCTAAGAAAATTTGATTTAAACAAATGCTTGAAATATTAGAACATTACCTTATTTAGCTGTTTATTTTATATTGTGACTGAAATGGAATTGAATATTAAATGAAAACTTGGCTTATTGTATTTTTTAGGTGAAATAGACCGATGTTTAAAAAAGGTCACAGAAGGTGTAGAGACATTTGAAGATATCTGGCAAAAAGTGCATAATGCAACTAACAGTAATCAAAAGGAAAAATATGAGGCTGATCTCAAAAAGGAAATTAAAAAACTTCAAAGACTTCGAGACCAAATTAAAAGTTGGATAGCATCAGGAGAAATAAAGGATAAGAGTGTTCTAATGGATAATAGAAAGCTTATAGAAACGGTAAATACTTAGTTTTATTAGAAACGTCATCGGGAAAGAGTGATTGATTCAGAATTTGCAACCAGTTTTCAATTATTTTGCACAGAGGACTACATAAAAAATTATATTGAAATATTTTTTATTCCCCGAGTATGTTATGATCGATGTTGACTGTACTAAGTGTTTGGAACAATTTTTTTTAAAGATTTACTAATGTGCATTTCACTGCTTCCTCAAAATTAAGATTTATTTATAACCTGGTATAAAATATAGTTTCTATAATCAGTTACCTTAATAGATAATAAATAGGTAATTTGATACTTTAACTTGTTTTTTTAGCAAATGGAGAGATTTAAGGTAGTGGAAAGAGAAACAAAAACTAAAGCATATTCGAAAGAAGGATTAGGTGCTGCCCAAAAACTAGATCCCGCTCAGAAAGAGAGGGATGAAATTCAACATTGGCTAGTTTCATCTATAGACCAATTAAATATTCAAGTAAGTAGTATATGTGTGTTACAACATTTCTCCAATTTTCTTTTCTAGACCGATTCATTTGAAAGTGAAATTGAATTGTTATTGTCTAATAAGAAAAAAAAACTTGATAAAGACAAACAGGAAAGAATGGACGAGTTGAAATCGAGGCTAGAAAGGCATCGATTTCATATAAGAAAATTAGAGACTTTATTACGAATGCTGGATAATATGTCTGTGGAGGTTCAGCAGGTACGCGGAAGGAAATTTATTTTATTGACTACCTTTTCATTGTTAACGTGAATGAATACTTTTAGATTAGGAGAATAAAAGACAACGTCGAATATTACATAGAGTCTTCGCAAGAACCTGATTTTGAGGATAATGAATTCATATACGATGATATCATTGGATTGGACGAAGTGGAATTGTCAGGCGTTGGGTTGCCTTCCTCGGCGACGACGGACAGTAACGAAACGGGCGGTACTCCTACCTCGATAATATCGGGATCTTCCCCGATTTCTTCTCCCCCACCTCTTGGGAACCAAATTTATAATCATTCCAGTGATAGTTCAAATGAGGCTGACAAGAAGGTGATTTGTAAAGATCAACCAAAAGTATGTATCAACTACAATTTTTTTGTAGAACTAGAATTAAGTGCAATAATTCTAAATTCCTGTTCTGTTTCACGTTAACTGTCATCAAACTAGGAAATTTTATTGTTTAAATTTATTATACTTTGCGACATTGACATCGTTAAACATTTTCGTTACTTTTGATAACAGTTCTCTAATTTTCTTAAATATCCTGAAAAAATGTACAACCTGGCACCCCTGTAATATTTCGCACTGTGATGTCTGCAAACTTGTCGTAAATGGACTATATTAATTAAAACAAATGCTATTTTTCTTTCAGCCTGTAAAACCGACTCCAGTAAGAGCAACTACTACAATGAACACTAGCACTAATTCCATACTAAATTACAGCAGCAATAGTGCGACTTCGACACTAATTAGTAAACCAATTTTGGTTAGCAGTACCCCGAGTAAACCTGTGTGCAGGGACAGTTCCCCCGTTTCACAAATGATTACGTCCAGTAATTTTGCAGCTGTTGCAGCGAGTGTGTCATCTAAAACTTCAACAAGTAAGTATGGTTATTTTTTTATTTAATACCGATACAGTGTTCTAAAGCTAAAATGTTGGATAAATTTATTAGAGTATCAGATTCAACGCACATAGTTTTCTGAATTTTCATATAGTTACTGTTCACCAAGGTATAGGCTTTCCGATGACAGTTGAACATTTATAAAAACACCTAGCAATAAAATTTAATGATTTTCATAGGCGTCTCTCAAAAAGTTTTCTGCTAAAGGTAAAAAAATAATAATTTGTATTAGGCTGATTAAAAAAAAACGACTTTTTTTTTCAAAATATGCTCTAAAATAGATTCAGGGAGGTGAGAAGAGATGTCTGTAAAAATCTGAACTCTTAATATTAATATTTACATTAATATTTTTATCGCGCATTGTGATTTTCTATTTTCCATGGGAAAAATTATTTTTCAATTTCAAAATTTTATATCTTAAAAACCAATAGACTTAAATGACCAATATTTATTCTTGTAGGGAATTGAACGTTCTACAAGAAATGTCGCTTATCATTTTTTGATAAACCTCAATTTTGACTTTAAATGACTTTTTTTATAATATTTCATGATAACTTTAATCATTTTACCTGAAACTGGATAAAAAAGTGTAATTATAACATAAATTTTACTTTGAATTTGAATAACTTTTGTACGAGTACTTAGGTTTATCAAAAAATGATAAGGGACATTTCTTGTAGAACGTTCAATTCCCTACAAGGATATGTTTCGGTCATTTAAATCCGTCTATTGGTTTTTAAGATATAAAATTCTGAAATTGAAAAATAATTTTTCCCCCGTTATTTAAATGGAAAATAGAAAATCGCAATGTGTGACCTCTAAATATTAATATTAAGAATTCCAATTTTTACAGGCATCTCTTCTCACCTACCTGAATCTATTTCAGAGGGGATTTTGAAAAAAAAAAATTAGTCAATTTTTTTTTAATCACCCTAGTTTGTATATAATGTGTAGAAAGTTTTTATTATATGTTCATTTAGCCAACAACATATTTTTTCTTTATATAAATTATAAACTGTCCGCCGAATTTATTAAAAATTTTTTTTCGCTTCCTGTTTACGCAATGATCTGCAACACCTTTTTTAATAGCACGAAAAATTGTGGACACTAAAACTTTAGTTAATATGTGAATTCTATTTATAATTTCATTATCTGGTTTTTCATTTTCTTCCTTTTTTAAACAATCATAAATTTTTAAAATGAGACGCTGACATTTTACATGTAAATCTATTTTTAAATTCTTGTTTCATCAACGACCGATTCTACTAATTCAATAATGTCTGGCGGTATTTTGTTTTGTTCTGTTTCAAAAGGTCTTCAAAATGCCATGTTGTAATAATATTAGTAAACAAAATATCCCTCTTATTTCTCCCTTTCGCAATTGTTATATGAGTGATTAATATAAGGTGCCTATAATAAATTAAAATTACCTAAATCACACCAAATTTCGTATTGCTGCACAGCACTGCTAGGCAATTTGCAGTGGCGGCCCGTGGGTTTAACCACAGGGGGGGCGCGTTTTGATGAGAGAACGTATATGAGAGGAGGTGCGGGGGGTGAGAGGGGCGGTAGCCTCCCTCTTAGCGCCGCAGGCGAAAAATTTTGAGGAATTTCAAGGTCATTGTGTTTTTCATAGTACATAGGTACACCAAAATGAATGCTGTCAGTGTGTAGATACAGTACTTAGATACAATACAAGAAGTAAAATTCCAACGTGTGGGGTTGAAGTGGATGATCGATCAACCAACCCAGCTGGGATATATGTAGATTTAGAGATGAAAAATATTTATAAAAAGATTCTTGGGAATTTTTACAGAGGAGGCACTGCCTCAATTATTTATTATTTACTATTTTAATAACATCAATTTATATTGTTTAATGCACTCACCTATTTTTTAAAATTAAAATCCATTCTCCTGCTTTTGTCCGCACTGAACTTCTGTGTCAGCTTTTCGTTAAAATCTGGAATATTTTTAACCATACAGTTCTCAATGTACAACATTCCTAGCGCACTTAGACGATCTTCACACATAGTATTTCTCAAAAAAGTTTTAATCAGATTTAGTTTTGAAAAACACCGTTCTGGTTCTGCTGTTGTCATTGGTATCGTCACTAATATTTGTAAAGCTTGAGTAATTTCCTTAAAAACTGGCCTACTTTTGCACTCTTTCTGTACATGAACTAAATTCAACACTGGCGTTGGACGTCCGTTATTTTTCAATTCGACTTTTTCCTCTAAACTTAAATTACTAATAACCAGTTTTTTTTATTTCACGAACCCTCATTTTAAACTTAAACTTATAAAATATAATGTCTTAAAAAGCGCCAAACCAAAAACAAAACACGTATAACTACACTGCAGTGATACGGGATACTGTCACATTGAGTCCCAAAATAAAGCGCACGAGCCTATCGCCGCCTACCCCTCCACGTGCCAATTTGTCCAATCATATGTAAAAATATGATTTCACGGTGGATTACGATTTCACCGTCCACGATGGACTGGGGATTGCGCACGCGGTCAGACATAACTCTTTGGTACGTTCACGGAGTACATCCACTTTATGCAACCAACCTAACATATATGACATATTGAATGCATACTATTTAGATTTTTTATTGATTTAATAAATACATTATTTTAAGTTTCCAGTTTGAAAATATCTGGGGGGCAGAGTCCCAGAGTCCTCCTTCACGAGCCGTCACTGGCAATTTGTCAACAACTGAAATTTATGGCCCAGTCGCCCAGTGCGGCTGTGTTCGTACGCCGTTTGTCCGCGCGCGTATTCTTCAACATTTCTACCACCTCCACATTTAGTTCGACCAGACCTGTATATAGGTATGGATAAATAAATATGGGAACAAATATTTCAATACTGAGATGCTGCGTAGTGACCGAACGTGATACATATTGCCTAGCTCTTTGGTCTTCAATTGAGATCTGAAAGACTGTATATGTGGGGGAACCCAAATTTCGCAAGTACGCCAATTTTACACCTTCTATCCTCGTACACAAATGCACAATTTTGTCCACGTTTTCATCAGTTCTGAAAGTGGAAGGCCGTGACATGTCGCCCCATTTGAATCGTGAATACCAATTATTGTAGAGTAGTTGTTTTCCGCAATATCGTAGTTTAAACGTTTACTTTGCCTATAGTACGGAACAAATCATCTTTCATAATACCTACAGATCAATAGGTCACTCTGTGCTAGTAGATACAAAGCAGTATTTTGTGCCAGTAGGCATTAAGTAGCTGCATTCAGCAGAATAAACAATTTACCGTTGCTGTTACGATACTGCCACAACGATTGTACTCAAAATCTGATCAACGGAAAGCTATGTTTATTATCGTACAAGTCATATATTTTCATTTTTCAGCCAAGTATCATCTGTTGCAAGTCATAATTAAATAGGTCATTTTTATATTTGAGGAAAAACCTGTTGCAATGTAAATATTTCAGGTGGACTGTTTTAATTGGGCCACCCTGTATGAATCAGTTGTTTTTGAATTTAAGATATTACATATACTTTTGAGGTTACATCTTGACATACTCGAAAAAATCATACATTCAGGATTTCATCGTTCATCAAGTTACATTCAGCCCTATTCTGTAACTCCTAATTGAATAGAAATGTATAAAATCGAATCGAGATCAACCCATCAAATCGGAATTGGGCAACATCGGTATTCTATAACTTGTTTCGACGTCTACTCTCGAAGTTGTTGGTAGAAATCGACGTTGATCGGTCAAACTCTGTCGAAGTGGTAGTTTTAGATATCGAGATCGGGTCACGCATGCGTTGTTGTGTTAGATGTATCAGTTTGAGTTAAGCATAACCTCACAACACAACAAATCTTTTTTCCTTTTCGTGTTTTAAATCACAGAATTATAAAATATTTGTACGTCTATACGTACGTGTATAGGTATATTTTTTATTTAGTTATCTAATTTGTGCATGGTTTATAATATTCTCTATCAAAGGGCTTAGTTTTACCATGAAGTAAAATTTTGTGCAGCGTAATGAAATCTACCATGTAGTTCAGCTGCTCTATAGAAGTTTTTTTCTTCATTGGAGTCGGAAAATATTTTTCAGTACTGACCTTCTCGAAAGATTACAGCAAAATGAATGCATTTTTAAACTGAACTAGGTATACAATCTAGTAGGTAGGTACAATTAAATTTACCGAACATGGAATTTCCTATTAAAACACATCTGCAAGTCAACTGTGCGTATATTCCACTTTTTATACCTGCGCTAAATCTTGTAAAAGGCACATTTATCTTATTTTTACAGCTAATTTCTAACCTCTCTAAATGTCACTTGGTTATTAAAGTCTATAATCGTAGAGCAATGCATTGTTGCCATTACGCTAAACCGGTATCGAATCGAGGTCTTTCTCTACGATTTGTAACTTCTACGATTTGAGTTACAGAATACCAATTTTAGGAAACGATTGATGCGATAGATATTGAACTTTACGAATTGCGAACATTTCGACTCGACCTGAGCATTTCGATGCAAGTTACAGAATAGGGCTGATTGTCCATTTGTGGATAAATCGCAATTTTGTTGTTTTGGACAAAAAAAAAAAAACTACGGTAAAAATTATTTATTTTGTTGCAGCAAGTGGAGACAGCAATCCATCTTCATCTGTGATAACAAATGTTAGTCAAATTCCTCCTCAAAACACGTCAAATGCCATTAACACTTCGATTCATTCAAATCCCATTTTATCACTAGTAAGTTATTTTAAAATTGTTTTATATTACCAAAGTTTAGGTGTATTACTGAGATGATTACAAAAAAACGTGTCGATCGTGTGTACATTATTCCAATTGTTTCAGTTAATATAAATTTTAAATCTTAGCTACTGCAAAAAGAAAAGCAATATCAAGTTTTAAAATATATAAAAACTATGTTTTGTTAATTTTCTGTATAAATCAAGAGTTGGGTCAATCTTATTTTATTTTTGTTATTCTGTTTGATTTATTCGATTCTTTATTATATAAAAATATTAATAACAACTTTAAAGAATATAACTCTAAACGTTACCTTATGTTGAGATTAATTTTATAATCATAGGCGACACAAAATTCTACAAATCCATCTCAAAAGTCATATTCTGATCCACACGTACAAAGTAATTGCATAAGTCCTGATTTAAATAACAGCGACAACAAATCACCGTTAAGTGTTGAAACATCACAACCCGCAACGAATGGTTCCGCTGTCGAAAAGGTACGTACCAGGGTTGTGCTATAAAACGTTTTTTATCGGGTAAAATTGTAGATTTCCGACGGTATGACGTCGTTAAAATCGATGGCCCAGCAGGTGATAGATAGAGCGGGTCTGGAAAGTAACCAAGTAATACTAGAATCGAATAAGACCCAAAATCAGGGAAAGTCCGATGCTCACATACCTCCCTTATTGGGGGTGGCGCCTTTAGGAGCTATACCCTTGCAGAAAGAACACCAGACGCAATTTCAGTTGATGGAAGCGGCGTTCTATCACATGCCCCATCCGTCAGATTCGGAAAAAATAAGAACGTACTTGCCGAGGAGCCCCTGTACGACGCCTTCGTATTACATTCAGACTCCCTTGGCTCATTCCGATAGCTTAGAGTTCTATCAGAGGTTAGCGACGGAAACCTTATTTTTCGTTTTCTATTACATGGAAGGAACCAAGGCTCAGTATTTAGCGGCGAAAGCGTTAAAAAAGCAAAGCTGGAGGTTTCACACGAAATACATGATGTGGTTTCAGAGACATGAAGAACCGAAAATTATTAATGAAGAATACGAACAGGTGAGTCATCTTCAGTCTGAAAGAAAACACTGTTTTAAATTTTGCTATATTGGGCGTTTTCCAAAACTTACTGGTTGAAAGGGGTTTTACCCCAGATTTGTTTTTAATTTTACCCAAGAAAAGAACATGTTTTAAAAAAACGTATATAACTAAAAATATGTTTGACAATAATATCCCTACAACATGCATTTGAAAATACATGCAGAGGGTGTAACTTTATATGAGGGTCAGTTTTTTGCAGTAATTTTTTTATTAGATTGAGTTATAATTAATTTTTTAAATTGCGCTTAAATTTTCGTGTACTTGTCGACGTTGCCAGTTTTTATTTTTTTAAGTCAACCACAATGGAAAATTATGCAGTAAACACAAAGTACTTTATGCTTTTGCCAAATGTTATTTTAAAATTAACCTTTTTTTTTGATAATGTGGGCAAGGCACCAATCTTTAAAAATGTTCTAGTTTTAAAAAAATTAACTTTTGTATCTTGATTTATTAAATACAGGGTGTTAATGTCAAATATTTTTGCCATATGTCCGTTACGTCAAATTGAGGTAAATACATGGATTTGTGTTGAGTAAAATGATTTTCATAGAAGATGTTCGATGTATCCACCATTTGCTTGCACGCAAGCTTCAGCGCAGCATATCCAATTCGCTTACACGTGTTGCAACATTGCCACGTCTTCTCGAGTCGTATTACAAGCTTTGGCGATACGATGTCGCAGTCAGTCGATGTCACGAACTTCCGTAGAATACACTACACTTTTCATGAAAAACAGCATAGCAATCACTATGACAATGTATTACAAATTGAATTTGTTTTGCGAATCTTAGTGTTAATGACTTATGATGACCTAATCTAACTGATCTGCATATACTATGGTCAATACATAAAGTATACAGGAATGCGTTTAGGAAAGTTAAAACAGGTACTATGGAAAAGTTATAAAATTTCAAACTGATTACAGTATGGTTTTACTTTTTTTTTCTTATTCAGCCACGTCATCAACTGAATCAGCGCTAAACACCTTAAATTAATCCAAACTAAATCAAATAGCAACAAAATTTAACGTGAATGCACGAATATGCACAAAATGAAAAAAGAATATGATATGAAGTCTGGTTCTGTATGAAAGCATAACAAATTTTTTATTGGATTCAAGTGTCTATGTGTAGTGTTATAACCTTAAAAAGTTATTTATTTCAGTGATTAGTGACAGTACAGTGTATTTTTATATATTCGATTTCAAGTTTTTGTATATTATAAAAAACAATGAGAAATTTAAAACCAGAAATTTGAAATACTGTGGAAGAGAATCCTAGTACCAGTACTCAAAGATTAGCCACAAAATTTCAAGTATCATGTGATTGTAAAACGAATATTGAAGCTTCACGGATTATGTCCATATCATGTTCAGAAAATACAGGCGCTGAGTTTACCAATATGTGCAATGCAAGGAAGTAGGAAATGACTTCATTTTGTGTATTGTGGATTGATGAGGAGGATTTACAAGTGAAGCAATTTTCAATATTCATAGCATACATTTTATGGATTGTAACGGAATAGTTAAATGAGTCAAAATAAGTGTATTGGATGTTTCGAACTTGGTCATCAAGACTTCCAGATTTAAATCTATATTTTTATTTGTGGGGACATATGAAGTCTTTAGTATATTAAACTATAATCTCGAGAAATAAGACATTTCATGATGCAGCATGTTGAGACATGTTTGGACAGGAATAGATAATATTTTGTGCATTTACTTGTAAAAATTAGGTGAATAAACAGATCATTTACTTATTTTTCTGTATTTCATTTATTATTTCCTGTTTGAGGTTGCTGTTAGATTACTTGTTATCTTATTTAAAAGAATTAAGTTTTTGTTTATGCGAGATGATAGGACTCTTGACCCATTCAATAAAAGAAAAGTTCGAAAAAGCGTTACGTTAGAGTAGGTGGTGCGGAAATTAAATATCCTACCTTTCTCTTAAATTATTTTTGACAACAATGCATATCAGTTTCCAAGTGTATATAGTTAAAAAAATTCAGCTTTATGATGAGATTTGATGAAACGAACTTAAGAGATATGTCAAGGGTAGTTTCCGTATAAATATGACCCCCATTCAAAGTTTCACCCCATATAATATTCTAAAGATTTACTGCTTATTTGAAAGAATCTTTGTGAGATGTTTTGCTTTCTTCATTTTATTGATTTCATGACTTAAAATTCACAACTGGTTTTCGATAAGTATCAGTTTGGGTAGATAATGTAACGGTAAAATACACAACAAAAATATTGGTAATTAAAATTGTGAATAGTTTATCTGCATAAAACAGTAAAATTGATTATAAACTTTTTTTATTTTGTCAAATTTAACAGCTATTTACAGAAATATTTTTTTTTAGGGGACATATATATATTTTGATTATGAAAAATGGGGACAAAGGAAAAAGGAAGGATTTACCTTTGAGTATAAATACTTAGAAGATAGAGACCTTAATTAATTAAAATATTTATATTTAAACGTGTTTTATTTTTCCAATAATTATTTTTAGTCGTCTTTATGTTGGCGATACATTGATGACAAGAATAGGTTTCAAATTTTGTATTTGTTATATTTCTAAAAATTAGTTGAAATAGCATACTTGTTGTAAATATGGTAAAATGTGTGCCATATGTGCTATTTTAACTAATGTTGACATAAACATTGAAGGAGTAGTGCAAGTTACTAGAGATGGGATGGCTCTCATATGTATCCAGCAAACAAATGGTCTGAAAGCATGAAAAAATTATTAGAGTAGCAGAAATTAATAGAAACATAAGGCTACTTTGAATGAAACACATCGACATACAAGAATTGTTTTTGTATTTTGGAAATACGGAACAAAAAATGAAATTAATTATCATATATAGCTTTATTATTTTTCTAAATATTCTCCATGAAGATCAATACACTTTTGCATTTGCATGAACCAATTTTCAAAGCACTTTTTCCATTCCAATTGAGGTACCTCTGAAACATGCATTTTGGACGCATCAATCCCTTCTTCAGGCATCGGAAAACGTTGACCTCGTAATTTATTTTTGCTGAGCGAGAATAAAAAAGTAATTGAGTGCCAAATCAGAATTAGCCATCCGATGTTGCACTAATGGTTACGTCGTTTTTTTCGAAAAAATTGGCTTAGAAGTGTTTTGTGTGAACAACTTTATTAGATTTGGCTCATTTTGTAAGACCCATACAGTTGACTGTTGTTTACTTTCGTACTCGTACGCATAAATCCATGATTCGTCACCTATTAGGGTGTCACCGATATCTTTTGTATCATATTTCTTGAGCATTTCATTGCACCAACTGATAAGAACAAATTTTGTGAATTTCCAAAGGACGAATGAAGTTCATCATGGTGTTCTAGACACTCCTCAGTTGTATAAGAAGTACTAGGTATTGGTTCAGAGTACTTTAAATTATTTGATGGTACATCAGCGGCATCACTCAAATTTTTCATACTGTCGGCACTGTTACTGACTTTTTCCCAACCATACCATTTGAGGTTGACAAGACATTTCTAAAGAGTCTTTTGCAGGCTTAATCATTGCGTTACAGCAATATAGTTGGAAAACTTGGCCAAACTGCTGAATTGTTGGATGATCATTAGCACCACAAGAATATCTCATAATGGAGAACAATCTCTACAAAATAAAGATTCATATGAATATCAGCATTAAATATAAAATTTATTTACATATTATTACCTCAAGATTATCACGAATCAAGCGCGATGTTACGAGATATGTATTTATAACCATATTCCTGGTGTAACCGAGTTAAGATAAACATAATTAAAAATTAAATAAACGCACACAAACTTAAAACGATTTTAACGCGCAAATACAAATACAGCTGATTGGAGCGATTAGGCCAAAGGATAAACCACGGATAAATTATCCTCTTTGGTCCTGCCATTCTCTGAACACAGCCTAGACAAGGAGGTGGACGTTATACGTTGGCCATGAATTTCAGGTCGCCGGTTTCACGGTCTCCACGCAGTCTAGGTTTTGTTGTGTTGTCATAGCTGCTGTCAGAAGTCAGAATTGTTTTAAGTTGGGTTATAGTTCATTCTAAATGGTCTGAATTGGAAATAGTCTATAATATTAATAAGAGTTAAAATGCTTACCAGTGATATATTTCAGATGATAAATTTAGTCTCCAATGACAGATTAATTAAATCTAGTGCAATATTTATCACCTTATTTGTGGTATTAATAGGAATCTTTGTAGGGTGAGAAAAATACATGAATGTGAACTTTTTAAAATGTTTTATATATACTTTTTATAGCTATATTTCTGCTATTTTTGTGTATACGTGCTACATATTAGGATATATTACTGCGTGGTCGTTTGTTAAATATCCAAATAAAGTCACAGAAGGCTTACAAAGATTATTAAGCTTTTATCGTGGAGGCATATCCATTAAAAACTCCCTGAAGCACTCTTGTAGCATTTGTGATGATTTGTCATGTAAAAGACATCAACAGAATTCAACAGTAACACCTTGGAAACATATACAAATAAGTAAAGAACTCAATGATTCGGTGGAAAGGGTATGAAAAGTTAAATATTTATTTCAATATACTTATCAGTGAATACACTTGTATTAGAGTGTGGGATGTGCTTTTCAAATAGTTAGTGAAATGGTAATGCACCTAATAATTATTCTTAATAGAGCTGTTAGATGTCCCATTTAGACGGAATATGCTTAATTTTGTTGAATTCGTACTACTTAAGCAGAACACAATGGTAGGGTAACTTTACCCGTTCTCAACCAGTGAAGTTATTTTTCAACTTTTACTGCTGATGAAATTTTGCACTTTGCACTACTTTTTTTTCTGGAATTTGATTTGTCTTTGATTCTCACTTCATTATTTTTTGAGTAATAGTTTTTCCAAGTGATGAAACTGTACTCAGAAGTTTTTCTTACTCTCTCTGATTGGGTCCCTTTAGCTTCAGGAAACCTGAGTACAACTTTTGACAAGGTTTCTCGTCATTAAATAAACGAATCTTATCAATAAATAGCCTTTGCAGCAATCTTGATTACTGTTTCGAGGAAATCACTATTTTTATTTCAAAATTCACATTTTGCAATGTCTGTTACCCATTTCACAATTTTATTTTCAACATCGACAGTTAAAAGTGGCTTTGATACATTAAAATCTCCTGTATTAATTTTTTCTACCTCCGTTTAGTTTATATCATCTACTCAACATAATGGACCACCTCCAACAAACGTTAAGACACTAAAAATATGTCTTCAAAAACTTATTGGACAGACTGGAAGTTAACAACATTAGTATTTTTATGTTTTAGTTTTATAACCGAATTATTGAAAATTTCATATCTTCATGGTACGGACAGTTTAGTAATGATTCAGATTTTCTGAATGAATTGCGGTATTCTCTGCGGTATGCAAGTGCTTCTGTTATTAATCGACTGCTAGAACTTGACGTAGCAGGTATAATTACAAATAAATTACTTCTCTTTGCTGTTAAACATATTGATGATTATTTGTATATACGACAAATTACAAACTTGAGAAACGGCAGGTTCAATGAAGTTGCTACCGAATATCTAGGAAAACGATTACATATTGCTGCTACAAATAGGAAGAATGAACTGGCATATTTGCAACACTTAGTTTCTTCTATTTTGGGTAATATTTTACCAGAAAATTATTTAAAATGCAGGTAAATAAATTTGCTTATGGAATGTAATAACTTGTAGCCATTAAAATTTTTAGGAATTATTCGGTTATAATAAGAGAAATTTTGGTTGGTTGGGTATTCCTGCCTTTGATGGACGTTTTAGCAGATCCAAATATTATAAATTATATAGTAATATTGTCCATTACTTATAAATCAAAGAAAGCAACAAAACGCAATGTTAATATGGAAATGGTCACGTTTTTAGAGAACTATGCGACTGTCAATAAAAAAATATCGCCTTTCGCAATAAACTTAAATAAGATAAAGAATAATACAGATCTACTTTATGCATTCATGCAATTTTTGAAGAAACAAGAACACGTGCACTTGTTACAGTTCTGTTTGGATGTTGGTGCGTATATATTTTTTATGTTTAATTTTGTTGGAAGATATTTAAGGCTTTTTTAAGTTAAGTGTTATTTTTTTTTAACTACCCATTAATTTTCATCCTAGAGTTTATTCCCGAAATTTGGCTCCTTTAACAGACACTGAAATATTAAAAAAAACTTTTAGATGATTTTAATGCAAAACTGCTCACACCAAATTTGTCAAAAAAGCAATTGGAAGAATTACATTCCGACGCCCTGAAGTTGTACAAAGACTACTTGAATAAAGACAGTTTGAATTTTATTGGTTGCCCGAGCGATATAACAGAAGATTTTTCTCATTTAATTAAAGAATACATTACAGAGAAACTAACAAAAATTCCTAAACTCCTGTATAGGGCATATGATTACACTTTTAACGAACTAGAAACTATGTGGTTACCACAATTTTTTCATAGCAATGAGGTAATTTTTTTTGTGAATATGTTTTAAGAATAGCGTAGATTAATTCTTGTATATTTAGTTCTACAGCTACATATGTGGATCTAAAATCGTGTCAGCTTATGTTAAACCAAATAGGTGAGTAAAATTGTGATTCGTTTAAATTTGATCTACTAATAGTTAATAACTCATAGATCGGGTGTGAATAATTTTGGTTCTCCAATGAAGGAGAGGTGAGTTATTTGTATATATTTATACTAGTAGATGACTGTTTGTTTAATTTAATATTCCAGTATGTTTTAGTTTTTTACTTCTCTCTTTCATGTGTGTTGGGGATAGTAATGTGTGCAGTTTTTCTGTTTGTGTAACACTTGGTTTATTTTTTGTAAACATGTATTGTTTTCTATTTAATTGTTTTTTACATTTTGGGGTTCTTTAACGAAAATGTGTTGAATTTTTTATACACAAAATCATTAGTTGTTAAATGTTCAATATGTTATCAAGTGTTGTTCATTACAATATTATTATTAAATATGTTTAGATTGTGATTGTTTAAATTTACAGATCAAAAAAGTATGAACCAAACAGTCAGGGTACCGTATCAAAAATAAGTAGTGGATTAGTTAAAATTAAAGGTGTGTTGAAAACAAATCAACCTATAGAAGGCTCCTTTTTCCCTCTAGAAGCCCATAATGTTGAAAATGGTACCGTGGAAGATTTGTTGCTGGCTGAATGTAAAACACTTTTTAGAGACCTTAGCACATGGAAAGTAACAATATGTTCTTACCAGGTATATATTTATTAAAAGGCAAGGTATCTTTCTTTAAAACTTTATTTTTCTTAAAATTATTTTGGCGACAGAATTTTGTTTCCATTCACATAATACTTATTCATAATTTATAAAAATTTCCATTTTTGTTTCTATCTTTAATTTATCAGCATTATTACTGTGATTGTGAATTAATTTTGAGAGATTTATTTGTAAATTCAAGGCTTTATTGGGAAAAATTGTGTAAATTTTTATTTTTCCATTGCTAGCCACTATAATACTTTTTCCCATCTTTCCGGCAGCATACGGATTCCGTGTCAAAAGAACAACTCATTTTTTGATGCTATCCACCAGCCAATCCAATTTTTCGTATGTTCGTAAGATTGGAAGTGCTGCTTAGCCCGGCTGTGTTTCACGGTTTCGAACAAGTAGTAATCTAAATAGAACATTTCATTTCAGTGTTTCTAAGTATTATTTTGACTTCATGAGCAACATGTGGTCGAGTGTTGTCATGTTGAAAAATGGTGTCTTTGTTCGAATTGCAGCCGTTTGTTCTTCAATGTATGGCTCAAACGTATCAATTCTATCCGGTAGCGCCAAGCTGGTCCCACCGATTACAGAGCATGAGCATCGAACTATGAATATTTGGTCTTGCCGTCGATATTGATGCATAACCAGGCAAACTCCACGATTTTCAACGCTTAGGATTATCATAGTATATCCATTTTTCAATGCCACTGATGATACGATACAAAAAACTCTTTCTTTTTTGCTGTTCACACTTGAAAAATTGCCCTTCAACATCTTTTGGTTTCAATTCGTATTGCATCCAGCTTCTTTGCTTTTGAATCGTACCGAGTACATTTAAACATTTCGAGACTGTTGTGCGCTCAATATTTAACGATTCAGCATGTTCATCTTGCGTTTGACATGAATCTTGGTCGAGTAATGCTTCCAATTCCTCATCTTCAAACTTTTTCGGTTGACTATGGCGTTCTATGTCAACTGTTTCGAAGTCACCACTTCTAAAATGTCAAAACCAATGTTCAGGTTTTTTTATCGATGGAGTATGTTCACTATAAGTTTCCAGCAGTACTCGACGACTTTCAGCAGTACTTTTCTTTGAATTAAACAGGAAATGTGAAACTTCCTGCAAATAGTGTTTTGTTGACTCATAATTCGACATCGTTGGAGTTGAGTATAAATTATTTAGACTTCAGCATAATGACAGAGCTTTAACATGAATCGTTGACTGAAGACACAATACTTCAATCAACGCATGAATATAGTTGCAGAAGTGTCCGATGCAATATAGCATAAGTTACGCCATCTATTAGAAATTCCTAAAAATTAATTCACAGTCCTAGTAATTAAATAATTATGCAATATAAATATAGCTCTGAAACTATTAATTATAGGCAAGCCCTTCAAACAAAGTAATATATTTCTGTGTGGCTGTGGAAAGATTAGATTTGTTAGGCGATGACAGCAGAAGAAATTGGGTAGTTTTGAGAAAGGATCAAGATTTTTACACTTTAAAAGCTAAGTTGGTAGAGTTTCATGGAGAAAATGAAATATGTGACTCTCCATTGCCTTCAAGAAAGTAAGTGTAATTAAATAAATTTCCCTGAAAATTTCTTTCAGATAAAAATAAAACCATATAATCAAATTTGTTAATTTGAAAATTTCTAAAAATAGAATACGCTTGATACATTTTATTTAAGGGCGGGGTCTTCTGTTGATATTCGTATGGTTAAATACGAAGAGTTCTTAAAGAAACTTCTTCAGAAACCTACTTTAAGGAGCAGTGATTTACTCTATTCCTTTTTGACAACCGAAGAGGATTTTGCTATCTTCATAGCCACAAGCACCCCAAATATTCAGGATTTTGGTAATATTTACCAGTCTGTGGCACATAAATTAAGAAAGGAAAAAGGACAGCATTTAGATTCGTTCATGAGCGCTTTTTTAAGTTCCACAGGGAAACCCCGTCAGGAGTAATTAAAATAATGTACTGTATTGCACATTGTGTTTATTATTCACGTTACAGAAAGCTCGACTGGGCAGAAGTAGGTGAAGAATTTGATACAGCAGCTGGGGCTTGTAATGTAAACATTTCGTTTCCAAAAACTTATCGAAATCATATTTTTAATGATAACTTTGGTGTGAAATACAGCTCCTTGAAAGATACAATGAGTGGATCATTCAATCCGGATGGATTTATGGAAAGTATTTTTTATTTATGTAAGTAAAAGAATACGTTCTAGACACCAGTTTTGTAACAAATTTGTTTTTATATCATATCTTTTTTTTTTGAAGAAATTACAAATAACTTAAATAAGTTTGAAGATATTTTTAAACAAACTAAAAATATCAAATTCAGCGCTACAGAGGCACTTGGAAGAAATAACTTCAATAATTAATATCAAATTTGCATTCGTTTCATTAACGTGTTAGTTTTTGTATAAAATTTCAAAAACAGTATTTTAAGGAAAAATTTTCACTGTTGTTTGTTTTAGTAAAACATATATTTACTATACCGAATGGATTGCTGAAAATCTATGTTTCGTTATGCTGTGTTGCACAGCAATTGGTTGACTTCTCATGTCGTCTTTTTATAGAACATAAATTGAAATCAAACCTAACTCACTCAAATTTGGCTTTTTTGATTCGGTTGCTGGAAGGTAAAGCATAACTAATACCTATTTGTAGTAATTTTTAAATATTATATGCGGTTTATAGATGTAATTTTCAATCTTCATGTCTCTCCTACTAAAGATGAATTAGAGAAAAGGAGGATCCAAGCATTTAAGGAATTAGAACAAGTGGTCCCTACTTTCGCTTCTAAAATTCTTGGACCTGGACTTCAAAATGGATCAAAAACTTTGCTAGAAATTATGCAGAATCCACAGTATAACAAACAGGTAGGTTTTCTGTAGTTCTAGAGTAATTGTTTAAGAAGCTGGTATTTGTATGTAAATAGTGTACTTCGTCAAAATTTGATAAACCTCTTAATTTTCAAAAAAAAAAAAAAACAAACGGTGAAAGTGAATGAATAATTAAATGTTTCTAATTAATTTAAAGGTACGATAAAGCCCACAAAAATTTTGTTTTCTTTAGAAAAAATAATTAACTTGTAATTTAATTAAACTTGTAAAAACAATAATCATTTTGAAATCTGACAAAACTGTTTTTTGTTTGTTTGTTTATTTTTAATGACAATTTTTATTGATTATTTTCTCAATTTTTTATATTATACAGGTTCGGAAAGTCCCCACGGTACATCAGCCGTTACGTGAGAATGATAAAGTTAGTCATAGAAATCCGTGCGATAGACAAGGATGGTTACATTGAAGACGTTTCATAATCTGAATAGTTCTAACCCGAAACGGGCAGTGACTTTTCAGATTATGAAACGTCTTCACTATAGCCATCCTTGTCTATCGCACGGATTTCTTTACTTTACTTTGTCACTCTCATGTAAAGGCAGATGGACCCTGTGGATTTTCCAGCCCTGCATACATTCTGCAGTCTGCGCACTAATAATACATTATAAAAATGTGAATGTATTACTTAGTTTTGCAATTATTTAGGATTTATCGTACTTACATACAATATACTAATACACCCTGTGTATTAAAAAAAAATCAATTAGTTAATTATACACGAATTAACTGGTGTGCACTTTCAGTTAATCTACAATTTACTGGACATTATTTTAACAGAGATGTATCCAGGATTAGGAAAAAATCCTGAGGAATAGGATCCTACGGCATATATTTAAATTGAAATTTACTGTGATATTTGTATCTTACTATAAATGGATGAAATAATTTTGTAGAGAATAGATATTTATAAATTTTTTCAAATATAAAAGCAACTGTGCACTTATTTTAAAGTAATCCTAAAATAAAATTGTTTTAAAAATGAGATTTTCTGTTATATTTTACCTACCCTTTTATCCTAATCGTTTTGTGTAAAAAAATAAATGGAGAAAAAAATTACCTTTACATGTAAAATGGTTATTAAAAAAACATTTTGTCCTAGTCGGCCATGTATTGTATTAATAAAAACAGCAGTATCACCATTTTACTCTACATTCTAAAACAAAATTTTTGAAATCGGCCAAAAAATGAAGTTACAGGTTTGTATCTCATTTAAGCACGACAACATGGAGTGCTCATCTGAAGATGTATCAAATTTGATGAAATTTGATGATAAGACGTTTTAAGGGAAGTTGAATGAGAATACATAATTATATACATAATTTGTTCTTTAAAAAAGAATCACTAATACCAATTAGCTGTTTTGACGTCAAAAAAACGTGTCCTAGTTGGCCGAGTATTGCATTAATAAAAACAGCAGTATCACAGTTAGAGTTTTGTTTTGTGCTACATTCTAAAAAAAAAAATTTTGAAATCGGCCAAAAAGTAAAGAAGATACAGGCTTGTATCACATTAAAGCGCGACACCCTATATATGAAATAAAAAGTGAAATAAAAATTTTACAAATATTGATTAGTATTTAGCTTAACAAAACAACGAATTTAAAAGAAAACATTTTGTTTGACTAATTATTTAATTCTACAGTATGTTTTATAGTTCATTTTTAAATAATGGCATCCATAGAGAATATAGTTCTGACAAGTTATTTAAGATTATATCAAGATAATATTTTTTGTCATACAATTTGAATATTTTGTACTTTTCGCTTTTTAGAATAGTGCTGAGAGAACTGCGAAAAAATAATCGGCTGTATTTTATATAAATCCCGCTTTATATTTAAAAATTTTCAAATTTAATGTGATGGCAACACTGCCATTTGAAGACCATTACCAACAATTCCAAAACAGAAAACACTAAAAAAATATAACTCAAAATGGCGCTGTTTGTTTTGTTGGTGTTAATTTATAAAAACTAATTACTTATTTATTTATAATTTTAAGTTTTATAACGTATTTATTCTGTAGTAACATAATAGTACTGATGAGAATGAAAACTTTGAGTTCGGAAATAAATGGCACACACAATGAAAGTTCAGAGAGACATACACATTTGTTGAACGAAAAAAGAGGTCATAATTCTTCGAAAATTAAAGAACCTTTAATTAAAAATATAAATAGTGCAAAAGATTCGCTTTCTGGCTATAAAGAACGTCTCTTTAATGATTCTACTTCATCAAATAACTATGATACAAGGAGCCAAAGTCTGCCAGATTGTTGGGATGATAATACTAATAAATTAAGAGATAATTTACATTTTATAGATAATTGTGATGTTAATAGCAAATTATTAATTCATAACAGCCCTCCACATTCACCTACGAATGATATGTGGTTTAAAACCTGGCCTGAAAGATGTGATAAAATAAAAAGTAATGAGTTAAGTCCAGATAGTTCTACAAAAAGTGTAGTATCAAATGTATGCAAGAATACTCAATTAAGACATAGTAATTGTGATGTAGGAAATAGTAACGTCAAAAATAAGTTTACTTTAAATGAAGCGTTACAGAACATATCATTAGCTTATAGCCCGGTGACGAAGCAGTTACATTTAGTTGAAAAAATAGATGTTTTATCGAAAAGGCCTAATGTAGATTCGGAAGATATAAGCGGCAATTTTAACAAAGAAGATCTGGAATTAGATAAAAGGTGTAATATCGAATTTAACAACTCAAAGAAATCTGGACATAAGCGTACTGAAGCTGGGTCATTTTCAAGTACAATCTCTACAGTTTCGACTTTGAGTGGTATAAGTGACCCTTCTCCATCAGGAAGTTTATTAGGTTCTGAAGATAGATCTTTACATAGTTTTGACATTACTAGTGGGAAAACAAGGAAAAAGAGTATTACAAATTTCTTTACAAGGTGAGTTTCTGGAGATGTTAATTTATAGTTTAAATTATGGTTCTCTTCTGATTATAAGTCTTCTGGGTATGTTTTGGGTTATTGTTTCGTGTGCGGAATGAAATTTTCATATTATCAGCATTCATTTGTAATAGTTGCAACAACAGGAAACAGCAAAGAGTACAGAGAGAAATTATAGATATTACTTCACGTATTTTTTGCTTATGCTTTGTTAATGCTACATTTTCTTACAGAAATGTATTTTCTTGGAAGTCAGGAACAAATGATATAAATAATTATAACAGTAGTGTTTGGAAATTATTCAGCAAGCATTCTAATAGTACTTCAAATTCTCCAGTCCGTGTAGTAGCTAGCTCTTCGGCTTTGATACAACATGAAAGGTGATTAGTTACTATTATTAGGTATATTCTTTTATAAACTAGGTTTATTTAGGCCTTCTAGTTTACCAGCAAAAGCACTGGAAGAAGAACAAAGACATAGAGAGGAATATAAAGCTATTATTGCAGCTGCCAAAAGGAAGGAGGCAAAAAGCACTGCGGCAAAACAGAAACAACAGAAATTGCAATTGCAGCTTGAAGAGCAACAAGCCACCTCAACTAAACATTTTATTCAACAAGTTCTTCCAAATTGGGAGACTATGTAAGTGATGTATTATAGTGTATGTTATTTGGCATTAATTTTTTTTAAGAAAAACAATTGGCAGTCAAATTTTTTGAAAATCGATCAGTACAAAATTTTATTTTATTGGCGACGCCTTGTACCACAGTAATCTAATTTTGTTTTTTTTTTGAAAACTATGTCAAATCCAATAGTTGAAAATAAAATCAATTGAAAATTTGGTCTAAACCTGTAATTGACTTCTATCTTCTAAATTGTAGGCGAACAAATAAAAAAACTCAAGAGCTGTGGTGGCAAGGTCTTCCATCTAGTGTAAGAGGAAAGGTTTGGCGTTTGGCTATAGGTAACGAACTAAACGTGACGTCCCAGTTGTATGAAATATGCCTCTGTCGTGCTCAAAATAGGTTAAACAGTCCAGAACCACCCAAATGTGATTCAAATGTCGATCCAGAAAGCAGCATGGATGTAATCCAATTAGATATATCGAGGACATTTCCGCATCTCTGTATATTTCAAGAGGGGGGTCCATATTCTGAAACTTTACACTCATTATTAGCTGCTTATGTGTGTTACAGGCCAGATGTCGGCTATGTACAAGGAATGTCTTACATAGCGGCAATTCTAATACTGAATATGGAACCGTTTGACGCTTTCATATGTTTTGCAAATTTACTAAACCAGCCACTACATTTGTCTGCCTTTACATTGAATCAAGCACAGATGCAAGCATATTACGATGCGTACAATGAAGTGTTTAAATTTAACTTGCCTAAATTATACTCTCATTTTGAAAAGTCTGGACTTACACCCGATCTGTATTTATTAGACTGGATCTATACAATATTTGCAAAAGCCATGCCACTTGATATTGCCTGCCGAGTTTGGGATATTTTTCTCAGGGATGGATTTGAGTTTATTTTTCGAACAGCTTTAGGTAAGTGGACATTTTGCGAAAATATTACACACATACTTTGAAAATATGTAGTTTAGTTGAGATTCAGAAAAAATGGCTTATTTCCATATTTTGTAAAACTTGCTACTAGAAAATGGAAAAAATGGCTCATTTAGTAAATGTTAATTTTCAGTATTTTTTTTTAATTTTGCAAAATAATACTTGAACTACGTAGATTCTGAAAATTTCATCTAAATTTAGCAAGCACTTTTCAAAATAAACGAGATTGAATTATATGGTCAAATCGCAAACAACAATCTTCAGCGGTGTAACACCATAGAACCCTGCATGCTGTCGATTGTCAAACTCATTGTTGTTATGGCGAGCGATTGATAAATGTCAAACTCAAGAGTTTATAATTTTTTTTCAGCATTTTTAAACCTCAAAAAATGCTTAATTTTTGCAGGAAGTGTTAAAATTGTAAGCAGTTTTTTGATGAATTTAGAACAAAAATTGCTAAATGAGTCCATTTCAGCCCTAATAGATTTAAATGTAATATTGCAAAAAATAATAAAACGTCAAATATATATAATTTCACTAGGGTGTCTTTATTCTGCATTTGCACTTAATATATATTTATTTTTCTTTTTAAATTACAGGCCTTATTCCAAGATAGTATTTTTAAATTTTTGTCATATGATTTTTTTACCAAAAGATTCTAGGTGGGTTTAAAATAAATTGTCTCTAATTAATAAATCAGTTCAAAAGAATTTTTATTGATATATGTATTTGACTAGAAAAGTTGTTCATACAATTTGTATCTATTTTTTAATTGTCTGGAAATAATCTATGACCTTATATAATCATGTTGTGAAAATATTAGCAATGTCTTTTGAGGAATTAATAATTATTAAAATTCGACGCGCAAAATAAATGTTTTAAATAAGTGCTTGTTGCCGCGCTAATTCGTGACGTCATTTAGTGCGATCGAGAATCGAGAAGTTGTCACAGACAGGTCGGACCGACGGAATAAAAATAGCAAGTTATAAGAGTCTACAAATAGCCAAATTCATGTGTTGCGAGGCTCCTTGCATGCGCGTTTTTTAGATTAAGCTCTGTCATCAGCAAGATAATTGTAGACTAGACGGCAGATGACCAAGAAGCAGGTTGTGTTCTCGATCGCACTAAATGACGTCACAGTACGTTCTTGATCACGTGACATAATTTAAAATTTTATATGTTTTTAAACATCTAAGTATATAATTTGTAGCATTAAAGAAATTTTTACCACTGTTTAATTGCTGTTAGTTATGAACTACAAATTTATGCAGTTGCAAAAGAAATTACATTTTCATGCAAGTTGCTGCATTGCTGTTGAAGAGGATGTTATAAATTTTTTCAGTTGTACCTTTATTTCAGGTATTTTACATTTGAATCAAGATGTCTTAATGGAAATGGATTTTTTACATGGGGCACAATTCCTTACACATTTGCCTGAAGATACGTCTTCAGATCAGTTATTTAAGAGTATACAAGTGGTTAATACTACAATTGGAAAACGAACTTTTACTCAAATTGTAGACAAGTACGTTTTTTCTACAACTTCTCAATGCAGTTAGTGTATAGAATTTTTTAATAATTGGAATATTTTTATTGACATATAAAATAAACTTTATGGATTTAGTAGGTCTAAAATTTGGAGGACTTGTTACACTGAAGGCGTACTTTGCAGACAAATTTTTATAATTACATATTAATCTATTTTATAATTTTAATGTACAGAAAAAGATCAAATATTATTCTAGCGTAACCGAATTTCCGTCCAAATAATACGGATTATTGTTTTTTTTTTGAATCTCCATTGTATTTACTCATTACTTCTCTCTATTTTTTTTTTAAATATATTTAGAAAACTGTATAGGCAAGCCTTGATTTAAAAAGTTTCAATGTAGAAATATATTGTATATATAAATTACATAGCACTATATGGTTATCAAAAATTACGGTTAAGTGTACTGAATAGAATAGTATTTTATAAAACCGATCTAGTCAATAGAGAAAACTTTGCATTGGATATTAACAACGATTTTGTGATCAAACATGCATTAAACACTACTTTTAAGTTGTTTATTGTTGATCTACTAGTGTTAACATGCTGGATGAATAAAATGTAATGAACAATATCGGAAACCGGATCAATTTTTAAACCGAGACTTGCCTATGTAGGATTACAGATAATAACGTATAGGCTGTGCGTCATGTATGAGTTTCTTCTTTGTTAGTTAAGGGCGCCTACGAAAAATGAACTGGTAAATTAAAATTTGTAAATATTAGTTAAAATGTGCCCTTAATTATAATGATTACTTTAATTTTAACTGTCATTTCTGGAAAACATATTGGTATATGCATCGAATATGATGTGCTACGCATAGACATTGCCTTGCTTTCTTTCGTAACTTCTTTATTTGAGAAGCAGGATTTTTAAATATATACTAGGGTGGCCCAAAAAAACGAATATTTTTTTTTCGTGCCTCTTGTGAAAATATGTTAGTTTATCATGTTTTAACAGCCACCTTAATAAATCTGCTCAAAAAAAAATTTTTAAGAGGTCACTCAAGATTTTTAAAAATTTCCACTCGTCAAAAATTGAATTTTTTTTGCTCGTTATTTTATCATTTTCTAAGTTGAAAAAAATCTGGATTTTGAAAATTTCAAATCGATATTTTAATTTTTAAAGGTCACTCATAATTATTTAACTTTAAAAGTAGTGTACCTAAAATGTTTTTGAGCGACATCTAAAAATAAATATCAACGAACTAATAATTTTTTTATTGAATTTGATGAACAAAAGAATAGAAATAAATCACAATTCACAACACTTAAAAAATTTCTCGAGGCAAAATTTACTACCGCACTGAGTATCAAATATTTATAATTTGTTAATTTTTTAAAATTTAAGTCTCGTGATTTTTCTATTCTTTTGTTCATCAAATTCAATAAAAAAAAATTATTAGTTCATTGATATTTATTATTAGAGGTCGCTCGAAAACATAGGTACGCTACTTTGAAAGTTAAAATAATTATGAGTGACCTTTAGAAATTAAAATATCTATTTGAAATTTTCAGAATCGAGATTTTTTTCAACCTAGAAAATGATTAAATTTTTGACGATTTTGGAAATTTTAAAAAATCTTGAGCGACCTCTAAAAAAATTTTTTTAGCTGATTTTTAGAGGGGGCATTTAAAACATGATAAACTAACATTTTCACAAGACACGAAAAAAAATTTTTTTGTTTGGGCCGCCCTAATATACATATGTATGTTTTTTATATATAATTATATTTTTTTGTATTGATATTTGCTGCTAAATTATGCCGCGATATTTCATATGTTTAGCTTATAAGATAAACTAAAAAATACTGGCAACTTCATTGTGACAAGATGATTACTCATTTTCTTATTTTATAATAAAGTTAAAATATCGCTGTAGCGGTCACTATTTCAGATTGAAAAAATACTATTGGAACTTGAATAAGTTCGCTCTTTCCGTGAAAAATAATGCTTCATTTAATACGCATTTTTAATAAAATGCAGTAAAATTCTCCGCAAATATTCTTTATTCGACATATATGAAAAAAAAGTAGTTTATACTTCGGCGAAATAACACACTGAATTTCAAGCTTGCTTATCCTTATAGTACTTCTTTATAGATGGATTACCATCTTAAACTACACACTTGCAGTTCTGATAGCGCCATCTGTTGGCAAACAGCAAGAACTTATTCAATGTCTATGATTGTGGAATTAAAAAAGAAATTAAATCAATAGTGATTATTGCTAAATTTGAGCAACTTTATTGAAGAAGAGTCTAAAATTTTACTTTGGCAATATGGCAGAAAAGTAATACTCTTTACCTTTGGTGAATATTATTGCAACTCTTTCTTTTTAAATAAGAAAGCGTAGTATGGATCATGTATGTTACAGTGAATGTGTTGGGTTTCAATAAAGAAGTTAACTGTTACGCGCTTCTTAGAAATAAAACTTTTAAAAATATATGTGAAAGTACGTCTGTATAATAGTTTTGTAATGTTTTATATGTGATATTTATACTATAATAAAATATATTTTTACATTTTATTTATATTAAATGTTGATTTTATTATCTTCAGTCTGTAGGTTTTTTATTTATGAAGATGATACTCGAATTTTTGAATAAATATTTTTTAAATGAAAAGAATTTTGTGAATTATATATGTTAGAAATAAAAGTCATTAATACTCACAAGTATAATATTTCTAAGATGGTATTAATTTGCTAAAGTACGGTTACATTATTGAAGTTTGGAAGAACATAAGTCGGAAAAAAGATTTTGTACTTATGATTTCTGTAGTTTTTGATTTTAGGTTAAGTATTCAGTAAATTGGCAATTTGAGTTTTAAAATTCCTTTATAAAGATAATATAATAAAAAGATTCTCTTAACACTCTATTGAATAAAATTTAAAATTGGTTGCAAATTAAAGAAATTTTAAACAAATTTTGGTGACCAAGGTGGCATAAAATGTTTAGAACATGACTATATTTAACAAATTTCTAAAAATCAAAATTGCCATAATTATAGAGAAAACTTACTGACATGGCAGGTGGCTTTTCTCTAATCGTGTGTTTCTCAGCACAACCACCTGGAGGGCTGTGAACTGTAACCCTTAATTTCCAAAATTCACGGTTGTTTCGAAATTGGGCTCGAGGCTCTCCAGACGCTACGAACGCCTGATATTTATCCAGACGGCCGCCGCACCATCCGAATGGCACTAGACAATTACAAAAATCGCCGATCTTTCCAATAAATTCACCGACCTTTCTAAATCTTTACCGTCGCCGTTGAGCCAACGAGACGATCTCGAGCAGGCGTAGCTGTCAGGGCCAAAACCCTGAGACCGCCAACGAGGAACGAGGCAAATACATTTTTTTCATACCACTTTCAAAAAGAGGATGGATCGACATCAAATCTGTCTCCCGCAAGACCTGCGGGTCGGAATTAAATTTATTCAGTTTAAGAAGCCACTGCCGAGCGACCAGATCAGGCAAAAATGCAAACGTCGCGAGCCGAAGCGACGTGTCATTGAATCAAACCACCAGCAGCGGTTTTAGCGGGATTCACCCTGACAGCGATTGAACGTGCACCCGCGCCAATTGCAATATATCACTCGCCGTTTCAAAAGAATTCGCACCTATAGCATTCTGTACTATCAAGCAGTATTCAAATAAATGATATTATACTGTTTACTTTATTCTCGAATTATTATTTCTCAGCAAAAAATACACAAACTTCGAATTCTAACGCTGTCAGTCAACTCCAAACTTCCTAAAAGCTTCAGTACCCGCACTCCAAGGAGTGCGTACATAGTGAATAAACGATAGTGGACCAAGAAAGTGATTTTCAGACATTAAGGTATCAGACCCGAACCAAGTGCATACAGGGTGACACAAAAGCCCGAACCACGTTTCCAAAGTCCTAAGCAGAAACCAAATTAGTGAAGTGCTCCAACGGCCGATTCGGTCACAACAAACAACACAGATAGATCCTGGAATTTCTACCAGGGCTCATTGAACTCAGAACGATGGCGGAGGATCGGAAATCTCCAGCCCCCGAGCAGGCACCGGAGACCGACCCAGCAAGAAGCGCATCCGCGTCGTGCAGCCGCCACCCGAGATAGACAACCGACCTACCTCGTAGCCCAACCAGGCGACCAACATAGGGCCTTAATCATGGAAGAGACCAATATAGCGTTCCGCGACATGGCGCCCAACATGGGGCTATATTGCCAGATGAAAATGAAACTAGAGCTAGTGTCCTTCGACATTGCCAACTATCCCGAATTACGGTGGACGTCTACCATTTGATCTAATTTTTCATCAAACGTTTTGCGTCCTGTCAAGACTTTGCATGACGCCACATGTTCTTAATTTTACACATGCAAATTTTTCCAAAATATACAAGACTTGCACATTCTAACAATTGTGTCCTGACTAAAAAGACCTTTAAGCATAATAAAGAATTTCACATAAGAAGTGGGTCTTATTTGTGGAAGGGCGAAACGGGCGGTAACTATGAGACGCCTTCATTATAGCCATCCTTCTCTATTGCATGGATTTCTATGTCTTACTTTATCGCTCTCACACGTAACGGCAGATGGACCATCGGTACTTTCCGAACCTGTATAGATTACTACCGTTTATTTAATTGATAGTCGCCAGAAAGTTTCTGATGTGCAGTGATCGGTAGAAACAATAAGAGAAATAGTTTTTTTTTTAAATATGAAAATTTGTAGAATTTGAATTGGCACAAAATCTGTTGCAGGGAATATTTCTAAATGATAATATACTATCAAATGTTTGTTGATTATCAGTTTCCATTAATATTTTATGAAAAAAACTGTATATAAGGCTATAACTGCTTATAAGTGTTTGTAATTAGTTTGGGATGCATTTTCTTGTGAAATTGTTCTTGTACGTCAAAACGAAAGAATAACAGTTGGATATTAGACAAAATTTCTAATTTTGATCCTAAACTGGGTAGGTACTTGATTTAAAAAGCGAGAGCGTTAAACGAACAGATTTTACTTTCTACGCACCACATATGTCTATATTAAATCCACAACGTCTCGCATAGATTAAATTAAAAGAGAAACACACACGACCTACACTTTTAAATAACTCAATAACAAGTTTTTTAAAGCATCTGCTTTCCATAATTAAACATATTTATTGGTCAACTTATGGGCATGTACGGGTGGACCAAATTCATTGAGATTGTGGCCTCCCGAATTATCATAGGAATTGCTTTTGCTACAAATTTTAATACGATTATATTGCAGTTGTATAGAAGCTGTATATTAAGTATTTTTAAACTTTACAAATTATTTGAAGATAAATTTATATGATTTTTTTATAACGATATATTTAAAAAGAAGTAAATATAAATAGTAATTATTATATATGTCTGGGGAGAGTTTAAGTGGCCACATTTTTTTAAGGTGGCATGGGATCAACACCATTTTTTAGGAGACAATTTCTACGCCTACAAATGGAACTTTCCTGATGAATAAACTTCTAAGGAAACTTGCAAAATAAGAAATTAAAGTAGGGGGTGTCTTTCCTGGGATCTCGAAAAGTAGTTTTGTAACTACACTTTTGTAATCATCATCCACAATAGAAAACAATTTCATGTCATTGGCATAGAGTAGTCAGTACACATTAACATTAGCAGCAATGTCATTAATAAATTAAAGATCAAAGGGCCCAAAACGGAAACTTGAGGAACACCAAATATTGCACTAAATGTATATACATATTATTTTATATATTAAAAATTATATTTGTGCCATTTATTTAGGTACTCTTTACTTTTGGAAGCTCATTTTTGGAAGTCAACTATTCGACACCACAGTTCCGATGATTTAGCTGTCAGGTTATATGAGATAATGCCTGGCAATATTAGGAATAATACTGTTCAGAATGATAATAGACAATATTAAATATTGCGATGATTTTGACAGATTCATTAAGCAAAGTTTTTGATATATTGACAGTGAAATATGTGAGCATTCAAATTAAAGTATATGTACTTACCTTTTGTGCTGTGAATACAAAAATTAGGGAATATTAAGGGATCTGAAATTTAATCATATAAAAAGGAATAACTTCGCTAGGGCTTCTGTAAAAACTAGTTTATTTAATAAAGATTATTATTTAATATGGCTTTCTAGATGATATAAATATATTTGTTGCATTTTAATTCATATGTTTATAACTTAAAGAGGATTCGTTCAATTTTGTTAGATAGAAATGTATTTACTTGCCATGAAGGATTTTACAAGGATTTCACACCATAGAAAACAATGATTTGTTACCTCTGGCTGAAATTAATAATGTATGTTATAGTATCTAGCCTTGCGCATTCTACTCTATAGCTACTTAACTAAAAGACGGTCAGTTGCGGATTTTTGCAATAACGTTCCTGGTAAATCTGAATCTTGTAGTTTAAATATGTTACAATTCTCTTAATCTAAATTTTTTTGGTAGAAACTAGTTCTGTTAAGTTTGTGTATATTTGATACACTATGTATGATGATTATATAACAAATTTTGTCAAATAGCTTTTATTTTGAAACTTACAAAATTGATTTAAATAATAATTCAATAAAACAGGCTTGACAACCTTTATCTATTTGAAGGACAAATAAAAGTCGTTATTTATTTCAGTTTTATATTACAGTGTGATTTAGATTATTTTTAAATATTTGATACACAATAGTTTCAGATAGAAAATTGTAATACACCAATTTTACTTTCACACAGTCACATAGATCTAAAGGATTTATACCCTTATGACCTACAAAACATGTTGTAATATATGAATTAATGGGCTATAGAAATATTAAAGTATCATTTTTAACCGCACAGAAGTCCCAATGAATGTCAGTCACGTCTAGCATTTCTTAGAATATTGTTTGTGGCCTTTAATTTTCTGTGTAATTCTATGACGTGAATGAAATTCTCATCAGTATTTTACTTACAAATTAGGAATTTTTCAACAAGGTAGTAAGTTTATACATATTTTACCCTTTATTTTGTTTTCTTTACGAGTATTTGAACAAATATATAAACCAAAATACAGGTTTTGAGTTTATAATCAACTTACATTAAAATAATCAGCCTATAACCGCTACATTTTATTTAGTACCTACTTGTGTCGATGAAGAAAGTAGAATTTGCTTTCGAAATGTTAAAAAAAGATAATAAGTATAATGACTTTTATAAGATTTATAGTATTATTTAGTAGAAAGTAACCGGTAAAACAAATCATTTCAAACGTGGAAAATTCAATTAAATAAAATTATTGTATACCGAACGTCTTGTAAATAAACTTTTGAAACTACAACTGCTTCATTTTTGGTGCAATTTATTAAATATAAGACAATTTGATTTTTGCGAAAAATTTACGACAGGCTTATAATGCACTTTTTTAGCATTAATTAGGAATCTTGACTTGTCCTTGTTGTTATCGGGCTTGTCTCTGTGGAGGCGGATCGCTATCAAAACTCCTAGACCCCCATAATTATGATTCTGGTTCTTGCTGTTGGTTTTAGGGCTTGATTCGCGACAAAACTTTTGCAGTCATTTGTGAAGATGCCAGTAATAAAAAAAGTACTACGGATACGGAACTTTTTAGAGGACCATCATTGTAAGAAGCAGTTTTGAGGACTGATGGTTAAAAATGATATAGTAGATTGTAAGATAAAAAGGTGACTTTTGTCTTATGAATATGTGCCTTAAAAAGTACCCCTTCCGAGCTATAGTCTTTTAAAGTTTTAAAACAGTGAATTTTCTTGATTATTCTATATTTTTTAAGAATAAATCAAAATGGAACCAAAATTTGGGAGTTTGTGTTTTTGAGAATACTCCACTGAACCATAAAATAAAATCTGAAAAAATTGGGGGTTTTACAGAAGGTCGCTGTCATTAACTGCAGTTCAGTTCAGTACCTATGGGCTAGCATTGTTGATGATGACTTAATGTAGACTTTTTTTCTACCTGCCATATTAAACGAAGAAAATTACCAATATTTTCTAATAAACAAATTGAATGTTCTACTAGAAAATAAGCATCTGAAAGCATGATTTATGCATGATGGTGATGATGCCTTAGCACATTTTAGAATTGCTCTTAGAGAATATCAATAATAAATCGATATCCGATGAATTGTTGGGAGACCAGTAGCTTGGCTACATCAATATTCGAAGTGTAATTCACTTTGATTTATTTGAACGATTTTTGATTGAAATGTCCGTAATATTCAGTGTTGTTACCTGATAAATGTGATGTTCTTAACGTTTTTTTTTCAAAGAACGTTAAATTAACGTTTCAGTAAAAAGCATTTGAACGATTTTGATTGAAATGTGCAATTAGGTATGTTACCCGCCCGATGTTAATGTTTTTTTTTTTCAAATATTGTTTATTGTTTCAATAAAGAGCATTTGAGCGAGTTTCTATTGAAATGTCATTGATGTTCATTGTTGTTACCGTTTGATGTGATGTTCTTAACATTTTTTTAAAAAAATATTAAATTATCGTTTCAATAAAGAGCATTTGAACGATTTTTAATTGAAATGTTCAGTGACGTTACCTGACCGATGCGATGTTCCTAACGTGCTTATGTTCAGTGTTGTTTCCTGATTGATGGGATGTTCTTAAGGTTTTTTTTCAAAGAACGTTAAATTAACGTTTTAATAAAGAGCGTTTATACGATTTTTGATTGAAATGTTAAGTGATGTTACCTGACCGATGTGATGTTCTTAACGTTTTTTTTTTAAATAATGTTAAATTATTGTTTAATAAAGAGCATTTGAACAATTTTTGATTGAAATGCCCGTAATGTTCTTAACGGTTTTTTCAATGAACATTAAATAAACGTTTCAATAAAGAGCATTTGAAGGATTTTTTATTATAATATTTATAATGTTCAGAGATGCCATCACATTGACGTGATGTTCTTAACGTTTTTTTCAATGATCGTTAAGAAATTTTATGTTCAAGTAGACGATGCTACTCAAACAATGACATAATTGAGCAAGATATTTGATATTTATTGAAACGTACTGTTCAAAGAACGTTTTAACGTGTTTTAATTAAAACATTTTTAATGAGAGATAGGCGATATCACTTGACTAATGTAATGTTGTATTATAATTTTTTTAATGAACTTTAAATTAACGTTGTTTTGATTAAAATGTTTTTAACTTTTTTTCAAACAACGTTAAACTAATTTTCTACAAAAAAACTTTTAAAGTTCAAGGGGATTGATGTAGTGACATAAACTGAACAATGTATTTGATTTAAACCAATTTGGTTATATTTTAGCAAATGGGGGTATAGTTTTGTTGTTTCCAACTTAGTTTAGTTTAATTTTGACTTATCATTAACGAGTAATCAAGAAAATTTTAGAAGAACAGGAAGACAGGTCACATGTTTACCTGTAAAATACACTATTACATATTTTATCTTAAGTCCCGGGACACCCTGTATATAAAATGGTTATTAAAGTTTAAATATATGTCGCAAATATGTATGTTTGTGATTTTATTTCACTAACTATAATACACCTACATACAATTTGCAATATTCGGTGGTTGCTTATGTCCGCGTAGATGTTATTTGTTCGTTAACGTCGACCTCTCCTACACACTTTATATAAAAAAGTAGAAATGAATTCGATAGGCGTATAGAGAGTGTACACGGGACCGATGGTAATAAAATTTCAAATAACCGTGTCTGAATAAACAAATTATTTTTTGTTTGGAAACTCAGTCATTGACTCATAAAATTATTAAATATTTCCTACTCCAAATGGCAACATTCTGGCATTTAACGCACGGCAATTCGACTCAAGTACAAAACAATTTCCACGCAATCTCAAGCAATTTTACAATAAAAAAAGGATTGGTTGCATTGTCGACTACTAAATAAGTGCACAGGCTGATAAAAAAACCGCAGGGGGAAGTCCTACCACTAGCTACGAGTAGCCTGCCTTTGAAAGCAGAGATGCTTGTGCACCTGACTCTGGGGCAGTTCACTAACATTTGCAGAATTTCAGTCCTGCAACAACCTGCAGCATCTTAATGTGTTGTGATTACGAAGACCTGCTATTTAGTTGGTGTCTGTTGTTATATATACAAGGAACAGTTTCTTGCACACTTTTCTGTCAACATGACTAAACAGTATACTTTGGTAAGTGAAATGTTATTTTTAAAATTTCTTTTTTCGCTTTGAAGGGACATAAAATATCGTATTAGCATTGTTCCACTAAATGATATCATGGGTTACCAATTTTTGAACCTCAATATTTTCTTTTCTTTTACAAGTTGTCCCGTATGTAAAAAATTAAAAAAAACTGCAAATATTAAAATATCGTCAATTCTTGATTGCACATTATTTGAAATTTTTAAAAGAATACTTTACAGTAAAATAGATATTCACACTCTTGACATGTACTCGTGATGTTCCGATATAACTGTATATTCTTATGATGCGGCACAAGGATTAAATGTTCTTCCTATTTTTGTATAAAGAAAAACGTTCGAAAAGATCGATTTTTCTATTATTTAAAGTACACGATTTAAAAAAAACGTAGCAAATGTCAGTGTTCTGTACTTAATGATTTTAAACGACGAAAGAATCTCGAGAGACACCTCATTTGAAAGAGCTTAAAAATCTAATTGTTTCATTACATTTTGGCTTTGTTTTTGGATTTTTTAGTGCATTTACAAAAGCATAGCCATCCTGTGAAAACAACTTATGAAAAGAAATCACTAGGATTGAAATCTAGTGATCGTGGTGGTCAAGTAAAAAAATGAATTATTCAACGTACATTTTTTCAAAATTTTTTGAAAACTGTCAATATAAACTTTAACGTTTTAATTTCTTTTACATAAGGTGTTATTTACAAAATTTGTTTTAGCTGTGACATACAGAGCGATGACATTTGGAATGACATTTTAAATTAACATGTTGAAGCAAGAATTTTACTTATATGAAATATGAAAAGTGGAATAAGTAATATTTTTCAAAGAATTCGATTTCTATCATAGTGACCCTTTCCTTTAGCAGAAACAGGTTTAAGATTTTCGACAGTTGTGTATTCTTTGATCCGGATTGGGCAGAGGAGGAGTAGTGATTGTCACATTTAGGGTTTGTTTCTAAGACAGGGCGTTCAGCAAATGGTGGGAAATCATTCGGATATTTAGTTATTAATTTCTGAAGTTGACAATTGAAAATCGTTTTAACTTTTCCGTTTTTCATAAAATTTGGATAAATTCTGGGTAAAACCTGTTATTTAAGGCTATTTCTACTAATGTAGGTATTCAATTTGCAATATTTAGCTATTTTGGAGGGCCGGGGACATAGCGCCTGTGGTAGTCTTGACTAATCAAGAAACCTGAGTGTCGGTGTCATAGTAGTTGCAACTATTATGCCATCATCAGCGGAAAATAAACTTCAATATAAGGCGGACAAATAGTAGGTATAACGAATATTTTGAAAATTGGTTTACTTACAACGGCAATCATTGGAAAATAATTGGTCGCATAAAACTACTAATAACAAACATAATTTTCTGTAAAATAATGAAAATGTCAATAATTTTTCTCTCGAGTCATCACGACAATTGAGAACAAACGATAAATCTTCATTTCATATTTTACATTTCATTAAAATGATTAATTTGAAGTCCCCTCTACTTCAGATTAGTCTTTTTATTGACATGTAGAATAAAAGAAAGATTTATTACTTGTTCTCAATTCATTACGTTGACTTGAAAGAAAAATACTGATATTTTTTTTATTGTACACAAAATTCTGTTATTTATTTGACATATTCATCACAAAACGAGTTGTATCAATATCATACAAGTACCTACACCCTTTTCACTTAAAAGGTACAAAAAACTTAACGGCAAATAAAAAGGATATAACGAAAATTCGATTCAATTATCAACATATATCATTAAATTTTATAAATTTGTGAATCCTATCCAACTCCGAGAGAACACTTATCATTTCCTATACACCTTGTATATGATGCACTGTAAACAAATCGGTCTGAGTGAAAGCAAAAAGGTATTAAGTGAATCCATTGTGTGAAATTATTGAGTACATTTTCAGTCAATATTGAGCATTTTGATAATTTTACACATTTTTGATAATTTTATAAAATTGTAGTTGTACTCGTATTAATAGAAGAAAATTTCACTCAATCCGGTATGGACAGAAATTAATTGATACATTATTGAGTAAAATCGAGTGAAAGTAAGTCCAATTTTTCTTACAGTACAGCATCGTACAGGTTCCTTACCGACAAAGAGAGGGATAGATACTTTACACATAAAAAAAATATATTTTTTATTCTATAAGAGCTTCTGGAACATACTTAATTTAGGGGGAAGGGGATAGTCATCCCCTTGCAGAAATGTCTCGACCTTAAAATATTACAATTCTTAACCAGAACCTTTTTTACATATGCCTATTAAAATAAATTTTAAATCAGTTGCCTACATCAACATAACATCACATATAAGAGATAAGATTGCACAAAAAGAATACAATACTAAAAACATTTTTTTTCTCTTAGTTTTGTATAGGTACCCATAACTAAAACAATTTCACAATATGGGTTCGGTGATGTCGCATGGGTATAAATAGTGTAGGTAAACAATTTGTAACTACATAAATATTTTATTTGTTACTCAATTTGACATTAGTTTGTTTACGTATAGAATTCGTATAGATTTTTATGGGTTGCGATGATATGTATGTATGGAAATAGACGCACATAAATAAAAAGTAGCCTTAAACATACATAATTGCTATATTTTTAAGTAAACCATAATCACCGGCTTGACCTAGGTTGTAGTTACCTGTGTTGGGTAATGAATACATTGTGTATTATATAAGGTATCTAATAACAAACTTGTGTCTCCCATAATTATTATTCGTCCATTTATCAAGATTTAGTGATATGCGACGTTCCAAAATGCTGGCCTCTCACTTTGAAAGCGCATTGAAATCACTTCGAAAGTGAAAATAGATACTTTATTATGTTACATTTATTAAGGATCTGTGAAATATAAGAATATTTTCAACATCTTTCCAAAAATGAAAGTAAATTACGTATAATTTTAAGAAGTTATACTTACAGCTAAAAGATCTGAAGAATAAAAATAAAATAAAATTTACTAAAATAGGTTTATTTATTTTTTAACCTTTAGGACACATTTATAACCCTATACTTAAAAAATTTAAACATAGGTTAAACGGTACTTAATTTTACACATTTTTGTTCTTTATTCGGCCTTCAGATGTTATTGTCCCAACAATTAGTGTCGAAATATTAACTCGTCAAAATCAACAACTTTTGTCTAATAATTTTTTCGAAAGCTCACATTTTTGTCCGATATTTGGTTTCCATTAAAATTACTACAGATTAAAAAATATTTATTACAAGTAGATACTGTCAATTTATTTCACTTTTGAGGTATGTAAGCAATTAGATTTAAAAAAATAATTTGAAAATTGCTCGTTTTCCAAATAAAATGGAAGAAATCTTTTTACATTGAAATACAATTCAGAATCAAATACACTTATAGAATTTCGAAGATACTCAGTGACATTAAATGCTTACTGGATTGCTTAGTGGCAGTGTTTCCTAGTATATCCGCCAGTGATTTCATATAGAGATAAAATGAGCAAGGCACGTGTATAGGCACGAGTATTGGCAAGCAACATTGTACCGTTGGTACTGTTAACTAAAAAATTCCTAGATCTTAGCAACATCAGAAGGAATCATTTGGTTACAATGAACATTGCAAAACCTTGTCTACGTTCTAGATTGATTGAATTAAATGTAACGAAAAATTCTCAAGTCTCAAATTTCATGTTTCTAGAAATACTTAAAAACTCTCAAGTATCGAAACTGGCCTATCTTGTCCAATCCAGTGCGTGCAATGATACAGTTTTAGATTGAAACAAAGTTACATTGCATATTTGGAAATTATGTTAAGAAATTCAACACCGACCTCGGTGTCCTTGTTCTTGAATGGAAAGGAAATCGATCTTAAAGAAGAGCGGTTCGTCAGAATTTGCAATTCACTGAACTCAAGCACACTTGATAATACCGGTAAATCGTAGTATAGTAATTAGTACTCAATGAATGGTAATTGAATAAATTCAATTATTGTTTACTTTCTAATTCAGTTAGGATATATTTTCTCATGATTAATGACAGATATTTTATGTATAATAATTTCCGGCTGATAAAACGTTTAATAATAGGTTTGGTACTATATGTTTAGACATTCAGATTGAGCTCATTCACAAACATTTAATTTATAACTAGCTTTGTATAAGTTATTTTATCCAACACTTGTATAAGTCAACAAATAACCTAACATGCTACAAACTTACAATCTACCTACTTATTAATATTAACATTAACATTTATGGTAAAGCCGTAATTTGATGCCAAAGGATTATTGGAATCATTTTGTGATTGTGGTAAATTTATAGAACAGCTTGCCTCTTTGCTTGTGCTTGCTTCAGGAGTCTGCACCCCTTGTATCTTTTTAACAATATCAATTTTGCTGAAAATAGACTCTTCTATACAACCTTCTGCCACGGTAGATGACTTCCATCCACTGTGGCGTTTGAGTGATGTAATATCCCCTTCAGCATTGGCCAAGAGAGTTGCAGATGCGCGACGCAAGCCATGCCCTGTATATAAATTAGAATCTGTCAAGCCCAAAAATCAAGCAACAACATTAGGGATTTTTGATAGCTTGTTAATACCAACACATTGACGTGTGCATTTTCCCTTTTGAAAATTGCAAAAGAACCTTTTACGCTGCACATTTTGAGGCCTTACCTTAGAATATTTTCTGATTAATTCAATTGGATTAACACAAAATCCTTCATTTAACACAGCGAAGTGTCTTGGTTTGTTCGTTTTAGTATTTGAAATCATGATGTGTATATATTACTCTTTGTCATCTATATTGTCCATGCTTAGATGCGTCAATTCCTCGCAACGACAAGCGCCAAAAACTACTAATATCAACTCCACCAAAAACAACAAATTTAATAAATATAACTCAGTTAAACTATTCAGTAGAACTCACCTTATTCATAAGATAATCTTCGTCTAGGGCTTCACGCAAAAATTGTTCGATTTGTTGTTCT